CATAGTTATATACTGAACAAGTGGACCTTCCCATAGTTATATACTGAACAAGTGGACCTTCCCATAGTTATATACTGAACAAGTGGACCTTCCCATAGTTATATACTGAACAAGTGGACCTTCCCATAGTTATATACTGAACAAGTGGACCTTCCCATAGTTATATACTGAACAAGTGGACCTTCCCATAGTTATATACTGAACAAGTGGACCTTCCCATAGTTATATACTGAACAAGTGGACCTTCCCATAGTTATATACTGAACAAGTGGACCTTCCCATAGTTATATACTGAACAAGTGGACCTTCCCATAGTTATATACTGAACAAGTGGACCTTCCCATAGTTCTATAATAATTAAGCGGACCTTCCCATAGCTCTTTATTGAAATCGGGAACTTCCCATCGTTCTATAATTTTTATATCGGACCTTACTATAGTTCTATGAAGAATTAGTTCATCCTCGTATTTTTTTCATGAGCAAAACTATAAGTCATTCCGTGGTTCAAACAACGAAAACAGCCCACCATCTCTTGATTTTTTAAGTGGGAAATATCACGCTACCGTGACTCATAGATCTCCACTTTTACGGTTATTTAGGTTAAACAACTAACTCGCACAGGTTACATTAACAAAATATATCAAATTCTCATGAATCTGTAAGCGAACTATCAAATTCCTGATTCTATAAAGATAAAACTCACCTTCCCATGGTTCCGGATCGAGAAAATCACAGTGTCCAAATCCCTGTAGACAAACAAAAACGGTATCATTCATTATTTGACAACCCACCAAATTCTAACTTTCCTGACATATTAAACAAAGTCTCTTTGTTAGTAAATTTGCCTTTGTATTTACAAATTTATCTACACCAAAACATACGCTACCCTGTTGAATAAGCCCTTTTCGTTAAAAAGGAATCAATATCAATAGAGAGGATATCCTGTTACTTTTCAGCATTGCATCACACATTTTAAACGAATAACAGTTTTACCATTGTTAACGGACTCGTCCGATCAAATCTCGCGATATCCGGTCGCCGTTTTATCGTGGTAAACGTTCTCGTCCGATCACTCGTCGCGATATCCGGTCGCCGTTTTATCGTGGTAAACGTACTCGTCCGATCACTCGTTGCGATATACGGTCACCGTTTTATCGTGGTAAACGTTCTCGTCTGATCACTCGTCGCGATATCCGGTCACCGTTTTATCGTGGTAAACGTACTCGTCCGATCACTCGTCGCGATATCCGGTCACCGTTTTACCATGGTTACGTACTCGTCCGATCGTTTCTTGCGATATCCAGTCACCGCTTTATCCTGGTAAACGTTCTCGTCTAACCACTCCTCCCGATATCTGGTCACTATGTTACCGTCGTAAAAGTATTCGTCCGAGCACTCCTTGCAATATCCGGTCACCGTTCCCCTGCTCGTTAAAGACATACACAAAATGAATATTTAACGGGTTGTATTTTAAACCTTGTTTGGTAGAATTGGTATGGTTTAGGTATATAAGCACAGCTACAACACAAAACTAGAAAACGCACACATAACACATGAGAAATACACACATACGTACAATTGCTTCCATTTTAATTTTCGGGCACAGCCAGACCTCGTAGAATTGGTCCCAATCCAATCCCTTTATTGCGCAATGGAGTCCCTCTTCTGAAAGCTGGGTCCCATACATAAATGCGGGCATTTGAAAATTCATCTTCGTCTTAGCATTTTTGCTATATGGCTCAAGAAAAGCTGTCGCCTGCAAAAATAATCATTTGGTATCCTTGGATTTTTAAATATATTTGTGTATGCACTTGCGATAGGCAGATATTTAGTTTAGTCTGCGTTTTGTCTATACAATACAATCAACGTAGATTTTTTTCTTATCGTATTATTCTGACATTGTTAAGTTTGTACGTAAAGAAAATGAATATTCTGAGAGCAGTTACATTTTGACGTGAAACTAGTGAAAAGGAAAAGACGACTATAAAATAGTCAAAATAATGTGCTGACTACTCAAAGTTTTGTTTTTAAATTGAATAAGATTTGAATAGAGGGATATTCATTGAAATAACAGAATTAAGTTTAAATTCGAAAAGTGACGTCCCTGTAAAGAGACCTGCTGGACAGTTTATATTACCGTGTACATGGTTCGGTTCCCTAGGATAAGTTGGAGTGTGTCGTCACATCCGGCCGAGTGACAAACCAGAGCTAACTTATCCCACGCTATCGTCGATGTCGTCTGATTCCGCATATACGACTTCAGCTGGATTATCATAGACAAGAATAGGGTTGTTAGGAGGGGACAACTCAGTATTGCAATCGGGAACCATCGACACTTTCCGTAAACGAGTATCGTCTCGTTTACGGAAAGTGCCGACGGTTACCGATTACCCAGTAATGGTGAGATTCTTTAGTAAGTTAACGGTGACGTTAGCAAGATTAGCTACAGATATATAATGAGAGTAAAGGTTACATCTAAAAAAATATACAATGAACATGGATACTTGATATCTGTCAGAACTGTTGAATCATATTATATTCACTTTCTCTCACTTCTTAAGGTATTTTTGGGGTTATCTAGCATATCCTGTGAATTCAGATTATCAAGACACAATCAACGTGTTATAAAAAAAAGATTCCTGCAGTTTAAAAGAGGCATTCACCACCTGCGCAGATACTGATGATTAGTGGTTTTAACCCCAATTGCTATCGAAAACAAGATTGCAACAATACTTAGGTGAACGCTATTTTCATTGTGTTTATAAAAAAGGACATGAAGGGCAAATACATTATAACTTCACCCAAATTAGTTGACTGTAATATTTTTCCACCGTGTCACCGACAGACTGTTTTCCAGGCGATGTCGAGGGGGAGCGTGACAACACAGGGAACAGCGCATCCACACCAAACACAAAAAATCCATGGGAGGCTACTTTAGACAAGACAATCTCGTACGCCTCTGTGGGAACTAAGCCGCCCAGTCCCCCGATAAAATAAACAGCCGCGTACGTATCAGGTTTAAGAGGAAAGAATACTGAAACAAATAAAGGTTACAGTGACGTTATTTAATTATAAGTAAATCTACTTATTAGGCAAACGTTACTTCGCTTTACATCAAATTTTGATAAAAAAAAAAAAAAAAAAAAAAAAAAAAAAAAAAAAAAAAAAAAAAAAAAAAAAAAAAAAAAAAAAAAAAAAAAAAAAAAAAAAAAAAAAAAAAAAAAAAAAAAAAAAAAAAAAAAAAAAAAAAAAAAAAAAAAAAAAAAAAAAAAAAAAAAAAAAAAAAAAAAAAAAAAAAAAAAAAAAAAAAAAAAAAAAAAAAAAAAAAAAAAAAAAAAAAAAAAAAAAAAAAAAAAAAAAAAAAAAAAAAAAAAAAAAAAAAAAAAAAAAAAAAAAAAAAAAAAAAAAAGTACATGTACACTCCGTTAAAGAATTACCCCGCGTTTCTTCTGGTGATATTTACATTATTATCCGTGGCACTTTTCATTCAAGCATGTCAATATTTACTTCGAACTCATTACCATAGACACATGGTTACATTTAGCCGTTAAAATTGATCTGGACAATTAACTCATCATGATTTAGAATTCTAAGAAACAGACGATTAAACCAACAGTACCAATAGATGCGCTGAATAATTATCTAGCTGTGTCCCAAATTTCATCAATATTTGACAAAAGATGAAACCAGGAAAATTAATTTAAGAAAGTGTATTAATATAGAATCCAAGGAAAATGACGTCACGTGTTTAAGGCACTTCACTGTATATGTTTAACCATTATAGAGAGCATACTGTGTAAGTACTAATTTTAGCAAACTCAAATGTTAATGTAATAAACTTTTAACAGATAAGCTCAAATTTTAATTGGTTCACTCACAAAATATGCAAAAACAAGCTACAATGTATGTAAAGAAACTTCAATAAGTACGATCTTAGTTAAGCGCAATATTTAAAGTGCGAAAAACTCTAGAATTAAACAATACAGTTAAAATGTACCATTGCAGTATTCAATTACTTCCATACGACCTCAGAATATCAAATACTTTTCGCGTGAATAGGATTTTTGAAATTTCCTTAACCTTCGACCCTTGCCTTGAAAGCACGTGTTTCGTTAAATACCTAGTTTGTCGTAGGTTTGTATCTTGTATTATCAATATTCTAGTTCGCGTATTTTGATCTTACATTATTATTACTCCCGTTGTTTATCATAGTGTCAACCACACATTACACTGTCTAGTCTACAAATTATATCAGTGTACCTGTGTAGGAAAGAGCATGTTTGTATAAAGATACTATATTTAAACCAGGCTTATCATACACTTGTAAAAAGAGTCGGAAACCATCGGTACTTTCCGTAAACAAATCGGAAAGAGCCGACGGATCCCGATTATTTTCACTGGTGATCGACTCTTTCGAGATAAAAAAAAAATGTTAAATCAGTTCTACTGTTAATACCGTAATTGACGACTTTAATTTTGTCTGTAATAAATTTTAGGACTTCCAATATGAAAACTAACTCCTACTATTGTCTGGTTTCCGATTTCCCAATAATACTTGTACATGGAGATTTATATGGTACAGTATCACAGTACTAGTGTACCTACCTTTACTATGAAGTGGACTGTTGACGATAGTCTTTGATAGAGTTAACTCGCCAACACGTAAAGGGCCGTCGTTGTAAGGGTTCCCGTTGTTAACAAACACACATTGGCCTATTCATGGCAAAAATTGTAATTATTACTTATGTATGTAACAGGAAAGAAAACAGTGCTCGTCCACCGAGGATCGAACCCGCGATCCATTAGTCCCTAGTAGGACGCTCTACCACTGAGCTAAAGGGAAATACCCTCTAGCCCGAAAATAGAGGGCAACCGTAATCCTATGTACTTTAGAATTTAAATCTGCCACAAGTATTTACCAGGGAGGACATATTCAGTATTCACTGATCGTGCATATTCTAAAATAAATCAATTACATACATCTAATACGTACATATGGTATAACAAATGCATGTACACCCGTCACTCACATACAGGTACACCCGTCACACACATACAGGTACACCCGTCACTCACATACAGGTACTCCCGTCACACGCATACAGGTCCCCCCGTCACTCACATACAGGTACACCCGTCTCTCACATACAGGTACACCCGTCACACACATACAGGTACACCCCTCACTCACATACAGGTACACCCGTCACTCACATACAGGTACTCCCGTCACACACATACAGGTACACCCGTCACTCACATACATGTACACCCGTCACTCACATACAGATACACCCGTCACTCACATACAGGAACACCCGTCACTCACATACAGGTATACCCGTCACACACATACAGGTACACCCCTCACTCACATACAGATACACCCGTCACTCACATACAGGTACACCCGTCACTCACATACAGGTGCAGCCGTCACACATATAAAGGTACACCCGTCACTCACATACAGGTACCCCCGTCACACACATACAGGTACACCCGTCACTCACATACAGGTACCCCCGTCACACACATACAGGTACGCCCGTCACTCACATACAGGTGCACCCGTCACACATATAAAGGTACCCCCGTCACTCACATACAGGTACACCCGTCACACATATACAGGTACACCCGTCACTCACATACAGGTGCACCCGTCACACATATAAAGGTACACCCGTCACTCACATACAGGTACACCCGTCACTCACATACAGGTACACCCATCACTCACATACAGGTACACCCATCACTCACATACAGGTACCCCCATCACTCACATACAGGTACATCCGTCTCACATACAGGTACACCCATCACTCACATACAGGTACCCCCGTCACTCACATACATGTACCCCCGTCACGCATATACAGGTACACCCGTCACTCACATACAGCTACATCCGTCACTCACATACAGGTACACCCATCACTCACATACAGGTACATCCGTCACACATACAGGTACACCCATCACTCACATACAGGTACACCCATCACTCACATACAGGTACACCCGTCACTCACATACAGGTACACCCGTCACTCACATACAGGTACACCCGTCACTCACATACAGGTACACCCGTCGCTCACATACAGGTACACCCGTCACTCACATACAGGAACACCCGTCACTCACATACAGGTACACCCGTCACTCACATACAGGTACTTATGCATCCGTAATAACACAACCACATTCGTGGAATTTATATCTCCCGCTTGAAGGATATATTGTAGGTAAACATTATTGCGGTTAGGTTTAAACATGTGAGTATCGTGCTGTTGAGACATATTGTAAAGCTTGAAACTCGAAGAAAGAAAAATCTAAACAGAAGTTAGACTTTTTATTGAACATATAGGTATTACGGTGCAAATTAATCGTTTAATGCATCAGAATTTACCAACCTCATTAATTATATGTAAATATGCACAAATCACATCGGTTGGCAAACATAGCATGAGTCGGATGTGCATACGGAATTTGGTTGAAATATCTGCACAATATCTACAGCAATGAACACACAAAAACCAAAGAGTGCCCGAGATGGCTGGAAAGACAGAGGAATACAAACATTTTTATCAAGTTTGAAGGAATTTTGCTAATATTTGCTAGAGTTTATTTAGCGGAAACTGCAGATAATGACGTTTTTCATTAATCAAGGGGCCATTACTCCGCTAAATGGAGTCCGATTTAAATGGTTGTCAAACTTGGCCGAGCCATTGATGTGTTGAACCCTGTTACTAAGTTTGAAGACAATCAAATAATATTTACGAGAGTTAATGAACAGAAACGGCAGATAATGACGTTTTTCGTTATTCACGGGGCCATAACTCCGCCAAATAAAGTCCGCTGAAAATGGTCATCGATCTTGGTCGATCTCTTAAGGCATATAACCCTGGTACCTAGTTTGAAGAAAATCGGTTAACGTTTGTTGCAGTTATTGCACGGAAACGCAGCGTGACAGACAGACAGACAGACAGACAGACAGACAGACAGACGGACAAACCCAAATTAATATCCCTCGTTTCGGTGAAAGCGGACCATCCATAACACAATCAGAAACATCGATCACATAAATTACGGGCACAAATGTGTGGCTAACAATGATACAGGTACATACCACCATATAGACCTGTCAGGTAAACGACACACAGCAGTAAACATGTACATACCACCATATAGACCTGTCAGGTAAACGACACACAACAGTAAACATGTACATACCACCATATAGACCTGTCAGGTAAACAACACACAACAGTAAAAAGATACATACCACCATATAGACCTGTCAGGTAAACGACACACAACAGTTAACAGATACATACCACTATAGATGCTTGCAAGATAGACAAGACACAGCAGAAAACAACTGCTTTGCTTCATCCTTACTCCGAATCAAGTTTAGTTTCCGTTTTTGTCAGTATTGATCAATAGCTGACGTATAATAGTAGGTGTATGTTTACTTTAAGATCACCAGGTCTGTAAACAATCGCTATCACTTGATAATCTAAGGTTGATATGTACGTATTTACTCCGCTAACATCAGATAACATGGGAGAGTTATCACCCTGCACTGAACTGTCTTGAAGACTCAATCGAGCTCCACAGAAACAACTTTCAAACTTAACGTGGTCTTTCCTTCCTGTTTTTGTACAACAAGCATTTCAAGGTTAATAATCTGAAACTTTAACAAAAAGGGGCCGCGGTGGCCAAGTGGGTAAAGCGTCTGACATTCTGCTACCACTAGCCCTCCACCACTGGGTCGCGGGTTTGAGACCTACGTGGGGCAGTCGCCAGGTACCGGCCGTAGGTCGGTGGTTTTTCTGCGAGAACTCCAATTTTCCGCCACCACCAAAACCTGGCACGTCTTTAAGTGAACAAAGCTGTTTAATAGGACGGAAAACACAAACCAAACCGAACTAATTTTAAAAAGAAGCTTGAAGAATTCATCAAAATATTGATGAATAGACACAAACTTGACACCTTAAGCTGAACGGAAAAATTTATGAAAGTGACAGTAACAAAAAACATGATGTCGATCTTGCCTGAGAATAAGTTTGCTTCCTATACTGGACCATTCCTATACTGGACCATTCCTATACTGCTATACTGGACCATTCCTATACTGGACCATCCTCGTACTTCCACTGGTTGCGCACACTCAATTTATTTGTCTGTAGCTCTGGAATATATCATGGAAAAATTAAAGACATGTGGTCAGCTATCAATTGGTTTCAGGTAAAATAGACCTGACCGATCGCTATAGGCGTATGCCTGTTCTTTGATGAATACAGAGGTGCTACAGCCGACTTCAAAGCTTGTTAATTCACCGTTACACTGCCACGCAATTCTTTCGATCAAACTACTTGTACATGTTTTCGGTAAAAATGACACACCCAATGATCATAATTACTCTGAACACCTTATTTTAGGTCCAAATGTAGCTGTTACAAATTCTCGGTCCCTGTGGACACCCACAAGGTGGCGCACACAGATTCCAGGGCTGAAGAGAACGTAGAGTGTGTTACCCCTGGAATTCAGTTTAAAGGGAGATAATTCTAGCGGAAGCATGCTGCGATGCGTTCACTACAGGTTTCCTTACAAGTACTGGAAAGATATCGGCAAGTTCTTATGTTTTAATATAAATGGTACTCAAAGTAAAAAGTAACCAATTTGTATCACAGATACAAATTTTACGTCTTAGCCCTAAATGAATAAACAACGAGAGCTTCAAAAATTAGTGACAGCAAAAACAATTAATCGTTACAGAACATGACATATTGGTCAAGAATAAATAAATAAGCAACAGTTAGATAACTTTATACCTGAAAATCAGAATGGCTTCCTCAGAGGGAGATATTGACTGAAAATTATGGCAAGCCAAGATGTCATATATTCATGGAGCAATGTTTATCAAGTACTTAACCAAATTATATTAGATATCTTATATAATTATATAAAGTATCTTATATACTTTTCTTTATAAGATATCTTATAAGAGATATAATATATATTATAAAAAAAATGAAAAGATATCTTATAAACAAAATTAAATGAAATATCTTATATAATCCGGTTATAAGATATCTTATAAAGAACGAGATTTGAATTTGAGATAATAACCCCTCCCCCACAGCGCTCGGAACCTATCGATAACCGAGGGTGTCCGAGAGGATTTGATCGAAAATGGCAGCCGATGACAATGGAACCAGTTATCAAATTGAAACTACATATAAATATGNTGTCGGTCTCGCGAGAGTCTCGATCTTTATAAGATATCTCATAAACTTTTCTTTATAAACTTTAAGTAAGATATCTAATATGTTTATAAGATATCTTATATAATTTATAAGTTATCTGATATATTATATAAGATATCTTATCTGATATATGATATCTGATATCTTTTAAAAGATATCTTATAAAGTTTATAAGATATCTTATAAAAGATATAAGATATCTCATAAACTTTAAATAAGATATCTGATATGTTTATTAGATATTTTATATAATAAATAAGATATTTTATATAATAAATAAGATATCTTATAAACATATCAGATATCTCATTTAAAGTTTATGAGATATCTTATATCTTTTATAAGATATCTTATAAAAGATATCAGATATCATATATAAGATATCTTATATAATATATAAGATATCTTATAAAAGATATAAGATATCTCATAAACTTTTCTTTATAAGATATCTTATTTATATATAAGATATGTTATATAATATATCAGATTTCTTATAAATTATATAAGATATCTTATAAAAAATATAAGATATCTTATAAACATATTAGATATCTTACTTAAAGTTTATAAATGAAAGTTTATGAGATATCTTATATCTTTTATAAGAAGTCTTATTAATTATATAAGATATCTGATATCATAAATAAGATATCTTTTGAAAAAAGGTTTATGAGATATCTTATATCTTTTATAAGATATCTTATAAAGTATATAATATATCTAATAAAAGATACAAGGTATCTCATAAACTTTTAATAAGATATTTTATAAACTTTAAATAAGATATATTATATGTTTATAAGTTATTTATATGTTTATAAGATATCTTATCTACCCTGCTCCATGAATAAATGACAACTTGGCTTGCCATAGCAAATACCGGAAAACTATACTACAAATTCCTCAAAATCGCTATTTATCGTTTTTAGAAAGCTTTTGATTCCTTGCCGTTAACATTTCTATATATTGATTATAAAGTTATTTTATTTTTCATTGCTAAGGGGTGAATCGATTCGTTCGCCCGTGCCTCAATACTGCAGTACTAGTATTAAAATGAGAAATGTAACACATATATATCATTCACAGCAGTGTTTTTATTGTAACAGATAAATTTAACACCTTAATAATGATTAAACAATCATGCAGATGGAGTTACGAAAACAGTGTTTTTTTATCGCACTGTTATCTTGTGATGTTCAATGTAAGAAAAGTCTATGAATTAAACAGAAGAACGAACACGTACAACTAACTCTACCTTCCTTCTAATTAGTCTCGCATTCCCCAGACTCTTGCCCTCTCGTGGGACTGCCTCTATCGAAACACGAGTGGAGTTAAGCGTCTGGTTGAGCGTGACTACCTTCTAATCACAAAATTGCATTTTTCCGCAAAACTGCGAGCACATCATTAGACTAAGTTTGTCTATAGTTAATCACCGACTCGATTGCTTAAACAAATGAAAAAGTTGTCTGTACATTTGAATACATCCGCTTCGAAATTTTTTGTCCATTAATCCATAAATTACGGGATTTATTGCGTGGTTTAAGAACATAAGGCTTGTTAGGAGCTCGTCAAGTGGACCAAAGTTCTCGTCCAGTGCGAAGTATACATCCCAGTTTAAGTTCCTGAGAGCGGCGAGGACGAAATAGGGTAGACTTGTAAAGAAGGACACGACAGAAATAACTAAAAGCATGCGTGTTGTATAGACGCCCTTCCTCAGTGTCTGGTGGTTCCTTACGTGTACCCGTAAAGTGGATACTGGCATAACTACGTCATTTCCGTCACTTTCCTTGGGTATATCTCGTGAACACAGTGTAGCGTTATGCTTACTGTTTTTAACGTTATGAAAACTAGCGTCACTCTCTTTTTCTGCTCCTAAATCTGGACTTATTTCCAAATATTTCTCGTCTAGTGTTGTTCTGTCATAGATCTCTTTGGCACACTCTGTTGGTGTGGTTGAGATTTCGGAGTGTTCCGAGGTTTCCGAGGTCTCCGACACGATCGTGAGTTCCACGATGCTCTCGCTCCGGTTCGATCGTGTCGTGTTTGTTGCTGCCCGGTCACCCCCGTGGTAGTGACGATTATAATGATGAAGACTATGGACACGAAGGGTCGAATCATTCAACATGACACGTTTTAGTTTCCAGTATATGTAACCATAGGTGGTAATACATATGAACAGCAGAAAGGTAAAGAGTACTGCCAATGCTGTCTGGTAGACAACCCCTAGTATCGGCCTTCGGAGGTATCCTGTCACAGTGCACTCGCACCCTACCAGTGTGGGAAAGGAAGTCGGACGCTGGTCAGACCCGTAAATCAAGGCTGCTGGAATAGAAACAAGACAGAAAGTACATGCTGCACACACCAAACATATAAAGATGGCGGCGGTGGTCCCCGTGCGGTATCCAAGGGGACGACAGATTAGCCAGAGTCTCTCCAGGGAGATAATGTCGAGCAGACAGAGAGAGAAAGTGGCGACGAAGTAAATGACCATCCTTGATACCTTACAGAGCTCGGAGGAAGTAAACAGTAACGGGTGTCTTAATTCAAGTATTATAAACGCGATACTTAGCGTAGATCCGAGCAAGTCAGTTAAACTCAACGTCATCACAAACACTCTGTACGTCGTGTGTCTCATCCACTTAAAATAGACCAGCAGAACGTGGATGTTACCCACGGCACCAACTGTGCCCACGAGCACCAAGAATGACGTCACATATATCCCAATGTAGTGGAACTCTATCCATTCTGAGTGTTCCAGGAGAGCTGTCTCGCTCTCCGGTTCGGGGTCCGCCATATTTGTGTACAGTATACGTTGAGGTATGCAGATTTACACCAGTCGCTATTGGTCTCCAAACCCTTTTCATTAACATAAGTCTTTCAACATTAATATTTCGATTCGGAAATGAACGGAGTACATAAAATGGTTATTCTAGGTCCACGAATAACGACAGCACTGGATTTAAGTATGTAACCCCGTGCTTTCTAAATCAGTTGCAAGCAATTTAGAATTAAAAATGGCGCGTCTACATCCGTAGCAAATCTTGTTGAAGCTGTTTATGACGTAGAGTCATCAATTTAAACCTTTTCCGTCTAACATTACCATTGGAGATTGTCGTCATGGATATTCACTATTTAATGTTTTTTTCACAATTTGACTTCCTGTTCAAGAAAGGATTGTCCAATCACAATATTTTCCTTGAAAGTATCCTGTCTACCTTGTGTGTAGGTATACATCTTATGTTAATACACAACCCGTAAAAATGACTTTTCTCATTCAGCTAGGTATGGAAATTAGACCACAAAGTTGTTACAGATTCTCCGATAATCGTTAAATAGACATTTAATAGCTCGTGCGTCACTGATCAATTACATTTTCACGGTGTTTTAATCTTGAAATGGCACAATCATCGCTCCAAACAAACTCGGTGTTGCTATTATTAAAAGTGTTTTTTACGGCTCGTACCACCTCCGGCTTGTGAGTTCTAAAATCATTCTACGCTAAAATGACTCGTAGTTAGTAAGGTTATATCGGGGCCTGACAACAATACTAAGGACACAATACTTACTACACCAAAGACAAACTGAAAGGTAAAATTTTAAAAATTATAAAAATTAAATGACTTGTAAAAAGCAGTGGCGTAGCAAATCATTTTTCGAAGTGTATGCTTACAGTGGGTTGAGCACCCGAGGTGCGTAGCGCCGGATAAGGGGGAGAGGTATGGGAGGGGTAGTTGCTGGGGGAAAAAAATCTACAAGGCCCTAGAAGCAATCTCTCGTATTATCGGAACTTCTTTTAGTCTGACAGGTAAAAAAAAAAGGTAAAACCCGACTATTTATATGAATAATATTGAATTTTGTACTCAAATGGGTAATTTTTTTATTTACATTAACCTTCGCGATTTTTCAATGTGTATACCCATAACATTTTTTCCTTTTTATGATTGATACGACCGGTCCATATAAATCATAAAAAGAAATTATTAAAATATTTCATTAAAAAAATAATCCTTTTGAAAAAAAATTGTATGCTTGAGAACACTGTTCATTGCAGACAGGAAACGCCCGCTTCGCTGCCTCTTCGAAACCTACATATATATATTTTTATATATATACATTTGTATACACATTCATACAACGAGTATACAAACTCTCAAAATTGTACAAGTTATAACATTAAAAATCAATGAAATGATTCTTTTTGTATGATAAAATGCATTCACAGATTTTTGTTTTGGGAACTTTTGACGGATAAAATATTTCACTATACAATGTCTAAGCAATGGTGGGATGGGCCTAACTGGACGATCTTGAGCATTGACATATTGTCAAAGTTTTCCTCTTTTATGGTTCGAATCCTGCAAGCCTGACTTTTGTAACAGGAGAAAGAGAAACTGTAACGGCCAGACCGGGGTTCGAGCCCGGGACCCTCCGAACGCTAGACGGACGCTCTACCAATTTAGCTATCTACTCGCTGACGATCGACCTAGTCCAGTTCCGCTACATTCCTCTCTTCTTTTCTAAATCTTCGCCCCCGAAGACACGACTAATTTCAACCCAGGTTCGTGTATTCCCTTGCCAAGCACACACCAAATGCTTGAAACAAGGGTTGGTCACAGGCACCAGTATAACAAGAGAGAAAATGTAACGGCCACACCAGGGTTCGAGCCCGGCACCCTCCGAACTCTAGACGGACGCTCTACCAATTGAGCTTCCTGGCCGCCGACGATCGATCCAGTCCTGTTCCGCTACACTTTTTTTGTAAAAACAACATATGTTTTATGGTTCATATTGATATTCTTCAGGATCACTATTCATTGTCAAAACTTATTAAATTTTAATATAGTGGTATGCTTTAAGGAAAAATGGTAAACACTGTTGATTCTCATTTAAGAAATTTCACAAATAAGCAAATGGAAAACAAATAGTAATATAAAACTATATATATTTAGATAAACCAAAATTAGAATAGTGTAGGATTGAACAACGTGTTGAAAAGTATCCAACTCTGCATAAATGGTGTTTGGTGGTAAAAGTAGTATTTTTCAAACGAGAAAGCATGTATATAGGCCTTAACAAAAGAATAGGGCCAATTGAAATCTTCTACAGCAAGTGTTTATATCCCTATCAGTAAATGTACCTACAGTAGAATCAACTACAATGCCAAAATGATTTCTATATCTCTCTATGAGGCATATAATTACTCGGTACACTCGGCGCTTCAATTTTTGTTTTTAGTCCGTCGCAATGCACAGAGTAAGGCATTACCCCCTTGTTCTTGTGAGACGGTGGACGAACCTAATCAGGAATCACACCACAGCACTAGGAATACCCTGGCGTCAGAACACAGTAGTGACAGCATTGGCAGCTTGGGCGATTTGCAGACAACCCAATACGATGGTCAGGCAGAATCTGCAACCAAACGTGAGCTTATCAACTGACCATGTATGGACAACGAGAAGAAGTGGAAAGATCTGGATAGTGACTTGGCAGGACTTTTAGAAGTTCTCTGCAGGACAGTGTACAGCGGAAGATTGGGACTCTCACAACCACCATCTACAATGTGAGTAGAGAGCGATTAGGGACGGTCGAAGCTAAGCGGCCAAAGCAACACAGAACACCTGGAAACAACCGAGAGATCGAGATCAGGAGGTGCCGAGTGGAGTTGAGAGAACTATCTAGAAGATATAGAGTGACAATAGATGAAGAGAGGCCTGGTCTAGAAGAACTACGGAATATGACTAGTGACAAAATCATGAGTTTAAGAGCAGCTGAGAGGATACGGAAAGGGAAGAAGGAAAAGAGACGGAGCCCGTTCATTAGAGACCCCTACCGATTTACCAAAACCCATTAACCTTCGCGATTTTTCAATGTGTATACCCATAACATTTTTACCTTTTTATGATTGATACGACCAGTCCATATAAATCATAAAAAGAAATAATTAAAATATTTCATTTTGTTTCGGGAACTTTTGACGGATAAAAGATTTCACTATACAATGTCTAAGCAATGGTGGGATGGGCTTAACTGGAAGATCTTGATCATTGACATATTGTCAAAGTGTTCCTCTATGATGGTTCGAATCCTGCAAGCCTGACTTTTGTAACAGGAGAAAGAGAAACTGTAACGGCCAGACCGGGGTTCGAGCCCGGGACCCTCGGAACGCTAGACGGACGCTCTACCAATTTAGCTATCTACTCGCTGACGATCGACCTAGTCCAGTTCCGCTACATTCCTCTCTTCTTTTCTAAATCTTCGCCCCCGAAGACACGACTAATTTCAACCCAGGTTCGTGTATTCCCTTGCCAAGCACACACCAAATGCTTGAAACAAGGGTTGGTCACAGGCACCAGTATAACAAGAGAGAAAATGTAACGGCCACACCAGGGTCGAGCCCGGCACCCTCCGAACTCTAGACGGACGCTCTACCAATTGAGCTTCCTGGCCGCCGACGATCGATCCAGTCCTGTTCCGCTACACCTTTTTTGTAAAAACAACATATGTTTTGTGGTTCATATTGATATTCTTCAGGATCACTATTCATTGTCAAAACTTTATAAATTTTAATATAGTGGTATGCTTTAAGGAAAAATGGTAAACACCGTTGATTCTCATTTAAGAAATTTCACAAATAAGCAAATGGAAAACAAATAGTAATATAAAACTATATATATTTAGATAAACCAAAATTAGAATAGTGTAGGATTGAACAACGTGTTGAAAAGTATCCAACTCTGCATAAATGGTGTTTGGTGGTAAAAGTAGTATTTTTCAAACGAGAAAGCATGTATATAGGCCTTAACAAAAGAATAGGGCCAATTGAAATCTTCTACAGCAAGTGTTTATATCCCTATCAGTAAATGTACCTACAGTAGAATCAACTACAATGCCAAGATGATTTCTATATCTCTCTATGAGGCATATAATTACTCGGTACACTCGGCGCTTCAATTTTTGTTTTAAGTCCGTCGCAATGCACAGAGTAAGGCATTACCCCCCTTGTTCTTGTGAGACGGTGGAGGAACCTAATCAGGAATCACACCACAGCACTAGGAATACCCTGGCGTCAGAACACAGTAGTGACAGCATTGGCAGCTTGGGCGATTTGCAGACAACCCAATACGATGGTCAGGCAGAATCTGCAACCAAACGTGAGCTTATCAACTGACCATGTATGGACAACGAGAAGAAGTGGAAAGATCTGGATAGTGACTTGGCAGGACTTTTACAAGCTTCTCTTCAGGACAGTGTACAGCGGAAGATTGGGACTCTCACAACCACCATCTACAATGTGAGTAAAGAGCGATTAGGGACGGTCGAAGCTAAGCGGCCAAAGCAACACAGAACATCTGGAAACAACCGAGAGATCGAGATCAGGAGGTGCCGAGTGGAGTTGAGAGAACTATCTAGAAGATATAGAGTGGCAATAGATGAAGAGAGGCCTGGTCTAGAAGAACTACGGAATATGACTAGTGACAAAATCATGAGATTAAGAGCAGCTGAGAGGATACGGAAAGGAAAGAAGGAAAAGAGACGGAGCCCGTTCATTAGAGACCCCTACAGATTTACCTAAAACCCTGATTGGGGGCGAGAGATTAGGAACGCTGAGATCTAGTATGGAGGAAATTAAACAATAGATGACCGAAACACACAAGAATGAGATATACAACTTGGAGAGTGCGACAGAATACTCCCTGTAGACGAGCCATCCACTTGACGAGAGAGAACCAACATGGAAGGAGGTCCGAGAGGTGGTGAAGAAAGCTAGATCAGGCTCAACACCAGGACCTTGTGGTATTCCCTTCAAGGTCTACAAGAATTGTCCCACTCTTGAGGATACTGAGGCAGCTAATGAAGACAGTATGGGACAGTATGGAAGAAGGGAACCATTCCGAACAGCTGGAAAAAGGTCGAAGGCTGCTTTGTACCCAAAGAGAAAGAGTCAGCATCCATCATGCAGTTCCGAACTATCTCATTGCTCAGTGTAGAGGGCAAGATCTTCTTTCCCATACTGGCAAAGAGGATGCCGGCGTACATGACAAGAAATGGATATGTTGACACGTCAGTCCAGAAAAGCGGCATCACTGGTTTTTCAGTCGGTGTGGAACTTTTGATTTTTTTATGTTTTAAGGCACACGTTGACTACAATTCCATGTCTTACGCTGACACTTGTAGGCATTTTAATCTTCCTAGCCTCGAACATAGGCGGGCATTTTTAGACTGTGTATTTCTTTACAAATGTGTTAATTATGCTTTTGATTGCCCATATTTAGTCAAGCAAGTGTGTTTTTAGTCCCTGGTCGTAATCTACGATCAATTCGTTTCAACCAGTTTTACTACCAGACAAGTAGAATAAACGTTAGGAAGTATAGTATTTTAAACAGGATTCAATGTAATTTTAACTATCTTGATTTTGAACCAGACTGTGATATATTTCGTTCCTCTCTCGCCGAGTTCAAAGTACGATTAAAGAATATATGCTATCACTAATTCCTTTTGTTTTACATATGAGTATCTTTTAGTCTGTGTTACATGCATAACTGACTGTGATATTTTATACTTGTGTTTTATTGTTGTTATCCATTCTGTTAGTGGACCCTTGGGTCTGTTGAATTGGAAATAAATAAAAAATAAATAAATTGTCATCAGCCAGTTGATAGGTGAAGTAAGGTGACCTCACGTGTGTATCGTTGGACCTGGCCGACGATTATGGTGCAGTTCCTCAGCAACTCACCCAGATAGCTATGGTACATTGCCACGTCCCAGAACATGTCAGAGCGATCGTCAACGACTACTTCTGTTGGATCAAGTTGAGGTTAACCTACGATGGTGCAATGACAAAGTAGCGAGCTTTAGAGATAGGCATTGTAAGTGGTTGCACCACCTCTCCAATCCTGTTTGTGATGGGAACGAACCTCATCATTAAAGCAGCAGAAGGATAGACGAGGGGACCCATAATGCAGTAAGGGATCCACGTACCAGCAAACAGAGGATTCATGGACGACAGACAATCACCACTACTTCTCATATCCACGCAAAATGGGTCTTATCTGCACTAGAAGAAACTGTTGATAGGGCCAGGATGGAATTCCAGCCGAAGAACTCCAGATGTATGGTCAGCAAGAAAGGACGCCTGACAGAGAAATTCAAGCTAATGGTTCAGGAAGAAGAGATATCGAGCATCATTCCGAACCCAACCAAATATATTGGTAGGTGGTACGACGACTCATTGTGCGATTCAAGGAACAAGAAGAAGGTTCAGGACCAAACGGTGAAATGGCTGAATTCTATAGAGAAGAAAGGCCTTCCAAGGAAGTACAAAATCTTGATTCACCAGCATGAAGTACTACGAAGACTCGTGTGAATGATGATGCTGTACGAGATTCCAATGACGATGGTAGAAGCTATGGAGAGAAGCACCAACGGCTTCCTCCGAAGATGGCTTAGAGTACCGCCGAGCTATACGTCCATAGGCATGTAAAGCCGTACATCAAAGCTTACATCAATGACAGAGGATTTCAAGGTGTCCAAATGAAGAATAGTGATGACACTGAGGGATTCCAAAAATGTGAAAGTCAGAGGAGCCGGTGTGCAGACAAGGACAGGTCGGAAGTGCAAGCCTAGCAGTTAAGCAGGCAGAAGATATGGTTTCCATACGGGACATCATTGGAAACACCTGTATGGGATGTCAAGGCCTAGGAACGACCAGATTTAGGCAATGGAAAACAGCAAAAGGGAAAGAGAAACGTGATATAGTGCATGAAGAAGTCAGGCGCGCAGAGGAAGAACCAGGACAGCAAAAACAGTAGAGATAGGATGTGGCAAGATGGAGTGTTCCAGAGAGACGAATTACCTGGACCGAGCTCTGGAGAATGGAGCCATATTATATATCGGATCTCATTCCTGATGAGATAAATATATGACGTGTTGCCATCGCCATTAAATCTGCTGAAATGGGGCCTGACAGAAGGTACAGGATGCAAGCTATGTTGAGATCGTGTCATAATTGCCCACATCTTGTCTGGATGCAGAGGTTTTCACAACAAGGGTGATATCGATGGAGACATGACAAGGTTCTCCGAAGCTTAGTCAATACAGAGGGGAGATGAGGAGAGTCAAGCAAACAATAGGTTCCAAGATTAAGGAAACCTGCCAGTCATGAGGATGGTAGACCTGACTATTTCCATTAGAAGTGGGTTGCCGTTGATTCCCAGCCCAGTCCGTGTGGAAGACGTTTCACACGCTAGGGATATGCAGCAAAGACCGACAGAAGACAGTTTGGGTATTGGGAGAGCAAGCCGAGAGAGCATCATGCTGGATGTGGCACCGGCAAGAGGACAAGGAGTGGAAGTCGCACAGTGAGAACATCACCACAGTGGACCTGCCAACTGTAGGATGTCATGATTTTGAAGGGTCGAAACATCCAGTGACGGTTAATAATCATCTGCCCAGTCGTCAGCTGGACTAGTAGTATTTCATGGCGTGGGTTGACTGTGAACTACAGACAACAGATGCCATGCCAAAGTATAAGCTGACGTTGCACTTTGCACCAGGTAAGCTTAAAACCATTCGTAGCTACATAAGTGAGAAAAACAGTTAAAATTATACAATCAGAGGGCCTGTATCGCTCACCTGAATATGTTTAAAATAATTGTTATGAAGTAAAGATATAGCACTCCATGGTAGGTGCTGTAAGTCCATATGAAATTTCAGAAAGATCCATCCAGTATTTCAGATATAGCGAGAACAAATTTCAAACAGAGCCCAACCTCTATGCCCCTAGGGGGGGTCATACCCAACGTTTATAAAAAAAAATTGAGTCCCCTTGGCCAAAGGATGCTCCAGACTAAATAAGGATAAAATCCCTTAAACCCGATGGTCGAAAAAGGATTTTAAAGGTTTTACCTCTATTTCCCCTATTGGGCCCCGTTCTTCTGTCCCCAGCTGGGCCACACCTACCATTTATACAAAATTGAGTCCCTTTGGCAAAATGATGCTCCAGGCCACATTTATTTAAAATCTACCTGGCCGTTCAGGACTACTAGCGTTTTAAAGGAAAAGTTGACTGACGGACGGACGACGGACGCTGCGGTATGGCATAAGCTCACCATGGTCCTTTGGACCAGGTGAGCTAAAAATGATACAACACATCTTTTACAATTTAAACAATTTTAATTTGATAATTCAAAATCAAACTAATACATAACAATATCCAACATTTTTGGATAAAATTAGTTACATAGTTACTGGGGATTTAGAACAGACTTCAAAGTCTGCAAGTTTGTTTTATTGCAGTGGTGTGTTAGTATGAAATCTATATACAATGGAGAGCTCCAGGTCATGTTTTGTTAATATTGCAAAAACATGGTATCTATAGCAAGGACAGATACTTGGTAGGCTTAGAGGACGAAAACATGACAGCAAATACTACAAGTGAGGTAACACCATCAAACTAACAACCAGGCAACTGACAAAACTGCAGGGATTTATCTGTCATGGGCAAAATAAAACTGCAGAAGGTCAGTATACTATTATAGAAGTCTGTTTAGCACTAAGCAGGAATTCTAAAGCATTGTAATATAAACTATATAGTGCCATATTTCTGTCAAATAAAAAACCATTGAAATCAAATACTCACATTTAATAAGCTGATTTTTTATGTTCTTTAATATAGTTTAAGAACATCATCTTAAATCGTATGAAAATGTCAGATTCTGAATGTGAACCTCTAACATCAAATTATTTTCCAAGAGACTGATATGATTATGTGTGTTGCTCCAAAGTAAAGCTAATTTAACAGAATACATTATTAGACAAGCAAACAAAACAGGTCCCCTACAATTACAAAACATACATGCTTTTAATGCACAAATATATACTTTCATATAATAACAATAACAAGGCAAAGCAGAGCAGCAATCAACCGTAGAAAGGGTCACACATCCATGATGGAGTTCTCTCTCGTTCATCACTTTTCCTCTGTAGGAGTTGCCTCCCCTCACATCACATATATATAGTGACACAGTAAGAATAAAGACACTTTTATATTAAAAGGAATTAAGACACAAAATGTACCTCGGACCTACTCTATATTCTCCCTATTTATGAAACAAAGCCACTCATTGGGTTTTGTACCCGGATTTGTCTGTAAGAGTTATCTCCCCTCACATCACATGACCATTAATATAGTGACACAGTAAGAATAAAGACACTTTTATATCTAAAGGAATTAAGACACAAAATTTACCTCGTACCCACTCTATATTCTCCCTATTTATGAAACAAAGCCAATCATTGGGTTTTGTACCCGGATTTGTCTGTAAGAATTTGCACACAAACGAAGTTGACAATCAAGATATGTTGCCATAAACATTTGCCATTGGCAGCTTTCAATAAAAGACTGGAAATACATTTTAAATACCATCTATATGATGTAACATGTTAAACAGGCTAATTTCTTTTCAAAACACAAAGAAGCAAGATCAACTATTTGTAAGTAATAAAAAAAAACATCTAAACTTTATATGTATTTTAAACAAAGAGAAAACAAAAGTTATTCCCCAAATTCAGCAAAAAAGTCCATGTAAACTACCATTTCTTTCATAATAGATTACTCAATATCAAAACATATTTTTACTTATAACAAAAAATAACGGTGGAAGATAAGAAAATGGCTTCACTGAGGAAATAATTCCGGCATCATAATTATTCAAAATAAGTTTGGTAATTTTTCAATCAATAATTTTGAGTTAATTCATCTGAAGCTGTGGAGGAAATGAGTTTGAGTGAAACAAAAGCTTATTATATCAAAAGGTCATAGAAACAGAACAAGTCCGGACAGATTACCATGTGTCGGGCTGCTTCCACACACACAAGTCTCAAAATAGAAAGATATTCCTTATATTTACAGAAAAACAATTCTGCTTATGTGTCATAATTATTCCATACAGATACAAATTTCATGTCTGATCTGTTCAATAAAAGATAACATGAGACACAACCTAAGAAAATGAGTCCCGAAAAATGCTATGGAGGGAATATATTCAAAAAAAGATGCAGTCTGATATTTGCATATGCCTTCACCCCTGTCCCTCCCCCTCCCTTAGGTAACTCCGCCCACATCTACTGTTGCTGATGTCACACAATTGAGTGACTGTCAATGAGTACACCTAAATATTTGGACCTATTAGATAGTTCTTCACTACAACAAACTACAACCAAATAACATGTAACAGGTAATTAAACAAAAACACAAACGTTGACACTGGTATAGTACACAACTCTTACAGAACTTCAGTAATATTTCACCTCAACATTCTCAACAAACAGAAAAAAAAAACGAAAATATAACCGGGTGATTTAAAAACTTAACATTAAAACATCTGACCATGTCATTAAAATAAATAAAACATAATCCTATTATCAAGTGCAATGTGTGTTAACTATGTTGTACACAAGTGCAGTATTACCCAGTGGAGATAATATATTTGTAAGTGAAAACAAAATTGTCATTTTTACATCCAATGTTATTTTATTTATCTTATATTTCTGAGGTAACACTCTGTTAACAGCTGCAATCTTGATACATGTTGTTTTAATGGAAACCTAAAGAATTTCATTTGTTAATCAAATTGCCTATCATTTTCTATATTGCAAGCCTTGGCAGTAAATATGTATGCATATGCCGTAAATATGAAACAAACTTTCAAGATCATTTTGTGGCTTTGCAGATTTGTTTTCGCACACCATTTATCAGTAATTTTATATCTTTCTTTAACTGGTTTTGCCGTAATCTCAACATGGACATATATCACATTTATAAACAGGTAACATGATCAAATATCACCTCTATAAACAGGTAACATGGTCACATATCACCTTTAATTTATAAACAGGTAACCTGGTCACATATCACCTTTATCACTAGGTAACATGGTCACATATCCCCTTTATAACTAGGTAACATGGTCACATATCTCATTTAATTTATAAACAGGTAACCTGGTCACATATCACCTTTATCACTAGGTAACATGGTCACATATCCCCTTTATAACTAGGTAACATGGTCACATATCTCATTTAATTTATAAACAGGTAACGTGGTCACATATCTATAAACAAGTAACATGGTCACATATCACCTTTATAACTAGGTAACATGGTCACATATTTATAAACAGGTAACATGGTCACATATCACCTCTATAAACAGATAGCATGGTCCTATATCACCGGTCAGGACTTCACTGGTTTGTTAGATATATTGGAGAGATGACAGCCTGGTCAATAAACCTTCTCCCAGTGATTACAACATAGTGATGACTCAAAGCACTACGAACCATTGTTTTACATGTAATTTGAAATCTCTATACAATTGTCATATACATATTTCCTCTTCAACATGAACAAAGTCTGTCGATCTATCAAATAAAACAATATATATATATATATATATATGTGTGATAGAAATCATATTCTAAATCTGAACACAATTTAGGTCAGAGTTTGGCAGTTTGTTCTAAATAACCTTTTCAATCCTAGTATACTTAATCTGCAATAAGTCTTCAATTTGGGCAGTTAGTTACTTTAAATGTTTCTCCTCCTCAGATATCGTAATCTACCCTTGTTTCTCTTATGTAGAGGTCGTAGCCTGTGCTTATTTCTCCTAGATAGTGGCCATCTTCTACTAAGGTTTTTCTTACGTAATGACTGTAGCTACCTGTAAATAAAGGCTCTACTACAGAGTGACCATAGCGTACATTTCTCTTACGTAGAGGTCGTAGCCTGTGCTTATTTCTCCTAGATAGGGGCCATCGTCTACTTTTGTTTCTCCTATATATGTAGAGGCTGTAACCTTGTTTCAGTATCTAGCTTTAAGTCCTACATGAGACACACCTGAAGAAAACGAGTCCAAAACAATTCTATGAATGGAATATATTCCACACAGCATTGATAATTCTAACTCTGGTCATTTGTGGGGAAGGTCAGAGACTTTTCTTCAGCTGGACTGATCCGGTGTGGCTGACCACAGGAAAAGTCTGCTCTCTACCTCTAGTGTGTATGTTGTTGATAATGAAGAAAGTGACATAAATCTGCAGACTTTGGGGCATGTTCTGTGTTAACAATCCTTCAATAAATGTCTAATGAAAATAGGTGAATTTTAAAAATAGATCACAAACAAACAGAATGTTTGCATAGTTCAAAGATTTTGATTACTTGAACAAGCCGTTTTGTTATTGTGAAAAAATGTGTTGATAAACAATGACAAGTGAGAGTCAGGAACCACTTAAGTACAATCGTATGTTCCTTATGAATCATAAAACAACTGGACAAAGCGACAGAACATATCACAGATAATATAATTGAGCAGCAAGTAACAGGCAATTTACACAGTCCATCACCATAGAACATCCACCGAGACCCCAACTTATCAGGACAAACTTCGACTAACCTAAATTAGCTTTAATCTCTGTATCACAATGCACATATCTTATTTGATTATATTTTATCGTGCTTTCTTCAATAACTTTTTATCACAAAAAGCAAAAATCAAGATAACTTTAAATTTTACAACCTGATTTTTCACTCAAAATTAAATTTTTGAAGGATTAATCTAGAGAAACACATTTTTTGAAATACTAACTTCATAATTTATGTTAATACATAAAATTTCAAGTGAATCAATCAGAAAATTTAGATGTTTGTTAACATGTTGGGGCCGGATCTGAAATAGATGAGATTTGCTCAAATCAGAATTGTAATAAAAAAAAAAATCTTTATGTGATTTGACTGAAAAAATATCTCCATTTCATTTGTGCCCAGTATGAAAAAATATTTCAGAAGGTAAAATTTGAGGACTTCTTTCTCTACGAAGCAGTAAATGAAGTCACAAGCATTACTCTGAATAACAAGCCACAATGTACACATCTGTTTGTTTATATCACATGTATGCTATTAGTATTACTCTGTTTATCTCCTTGTTCAAAATTTTAGACCTCAGTTTTCTTTTGCATATTCTGCCATATTTTCCGTCATATTCAAATAATTGAAAAATTATGATAACTTGTAAAGCAAATTCAAATCAGAAATTCTAATTATAGTAAATCCAACATTTCAGTTTCAGCGATCGGTTCAGATCCAACATTCTCTGCAGGAATAGGAAAGATATGGAAAATATTTGAGCATAAATGGAAAAAAATATTTCGTAAACTTCAAAACACGCCAAAAAGGGCACACAATTATAGCGTATAAATAACATGATATGTTTGAACTAAACATTGTGTAATTTTTTATAGATTAATTATATTTTGTTGACAACATTATATTGCCACGTAAATTTTGTGTGAAACATTATTCATTAATTCTAGCATCACATGAGAATTTATTTCTTAACTCATTCACCCCTGAAGACACATTTGAACTCTTCCAACTCAAAGGTTGGAATAGTTCATTACCAAATTTCAGGGGTGAATGAGTTAATCATACTTCATGTTACATAATTTTATGTCTTCATGTTTAGTGAAATAAAACTACATGTCCACACAAAAAATACACACAAAATATGCGTTATCTACTGAGCAGTAACCGTTCACAATACCAGACATTTACACCTTCAGTATATATTAGGATTTGTTTGTATATCTAAGCTCTCAACGAAAACTAAAGCTGACGTAGATGATTACTCAGTCGACTTGTCTACACAGTCACAAACAGTTTTGTATACAAGTAATTCCAAACGAAATGACGAATGATATTGAAGATGATTTTCATCACATGACCAAACTGATAGAGTATTTTACATGGGAAATGTGCAAAAGTAAATACATAATTATATTCACTACACAAAAGGGAATACATGTCAAATTAGATAAACCTGATTGAGTATAAAAGTCAAGCAATGAATCAAACATAATTACCAAATCCTTGTCGTAATTAAGATTATTCTTAAATGGAAATTTGATTGACATTTATTGCTAAATTGTACATAGACAGTAAACGCACACTAACATATTAGTGTCAGGCTGCTTTCATTCCAAAAGATTTGATCACCTGGATCGGAGTCGTTTGTTTACGAATATTGTTGAACCTAGCAGCCTGATGTTGTTTCCTGACAAGTTTCCAGACAATTATTTCAATGTCCGTGTAATTTACAGACTTGATAAAAAAAAAATGTTAGAAGATCCAGCCGTTCCACAAAAACGTCCAAAAACTTGATGTACTGACCCAACACAGAACAGCTGACGGGGAACTTTTACAAAAACACCATCAACTGATGCTGCAGCATTCCATTCCAAAAGATTTGATCACCTGGATCGGAGTCGTTTGTTTACGAATATTGTTGAACCTAGCAGCCTGATGTTGTTTCCTGACAAGTTTCCAGACAATTATTTCAATGTCCGTGTAATTTACAGACTTGATAAAAAAAAAATGTTAGAAGATCCAGCCGTTCCACAAAAACGTCCAAAAACTTGATGTACTGACCCAACACAGAACAGCTGACGGGGAACTTTTACAAAAACACCATCAACTGATGCTGCAGCAACGATTTCTGACAGGAACGTTATTATATGATCACAACGATCTTTTAGTGATTTGATCCGTCTGACATCCTAATGAGGTGATATGTGGAATTCCCGGGTCACTGTCGCTCAGTAAATTAACTAGAAAGTTGTATTGATTAGCACTATATACAAATGCATGGCAACTTAAACCTTTAATGGGACTTTTAAAGTATCTCTATAATATGGTTCATAATGATCAATGAAGGCAAAAAGTTTGTTTAAACGTCAGTTCAGTATAATTCATAAGCAGACTAAAAGCATATAAGCTTATTCCAATTTAATTGTTTTTATAAAAAACATTGATTTTGAAATTATATGACATTATTTTAATAAATGTATATTTTGATATAATATGACATTATTTTGATAAACACATTTAACAACCTTTTGTATACAAGTAAAACAGTCTGTGTCAGCTAGCACTTAAAACAGTATCTCAGATACCTTGGTACACCTCAATAGACGTGATACAATTTGTTTAAATAAAAGAATACAGCATTTATATTATAATTTAAGAGTTTTACTTTCCAGTCAAGATTGAGATTTGTATGATGATGTTGTGCCATTAAAATATCCTGGCTCTTAAACTTTTATTACTTACAACACTTTATGATGAAACTTTGTAAAATCAGCTCTCATACCATCACATAAAACCAATTGTTGGAGAGATAGACACAAAAATTAGCAATAAATATTCAATTAACAATTTGTTTCCATTTTATCCACAAATTATAATCACTAACATCTTACTCAATAAGAAAAAACATTAAGTTGATAAATAAGTATGATTTGACTCAAGTTACAACTTATGTATATATATATGTATATCATAAATTACAATTCAACATTTATATAATTTACCAAATTGAAATTTATTAAGCATATATTATAGATTTTGTTAATTTGAAAATCGATAATGTTACAACACTTATGCCATTTCTGTTTGATTTTAATGATATTCATTTTCACAACATCAACTTTTAAAAAGAATACAGCTTGGAAAGCAAATTTTAAGGATGAAACAAAAATCTTTGGTTAATTTTTGTTGATAAATTTGACAAGCTAGAAAAATATATGAAACACCAGAAAAAAAAAATAATGCTGATTATTGATGCAAATCACATCGAAACTAAAAAGTAATTCACTGAAGTGAACCATGATGTTAAGGATATATATACTACCTCCCACAGTGCACCTGCCATTTGCACCAGAGTTACCTCCCTTACGTTCTATTAAATGAATATTGTCAGGAGGTAAATCGGGATCCTCATGTCCTATTCCTGAGTTTCTTTCAAGATGTATACATGAAATAGCAGTATTCTTCACAGGTCTAATAGTGTGAAACTCTTTTGTCTTTAAGTCACAGTTACAGGTAGCATAAATCCTTAACTCACAGTTATAGGTAGCATACATCCTGAAGTCACAGTTATAGGTAGCATACATCCTTAAGTCACAGATATAGGTAGCATACATCCTGAAGACACAGTTATAGGTAGCATATATCCTTAATGCACAGTTACAGGTAGCATAAATCCTTAACTCACAGTTACAGGTAGCATAAATCCTTAACTCACAGTTATAGGTAGCGTACATCCTTAAGTCACAGTTATAGGTAGCATACATCCTTAAGTCACTGTTATAGGTAGCATACATCCTTAAGTCACAGTTATAGGTAGCATACATCCTTAAGTCACAGTTAAAGGTAGCATACATCCTTAAGTCACAGTTATAGGTAGCATATATCCTTAAGTCACAGTTACAGGTAGCATACATCCTTAAGTCACAGTTATAGGTAGCATACATCCTTAAGTCACAGTTACAGGTAGCATACATCCTTAAGTCACAGTTATAGGTAGCATACATCCTAAAGTCACTGTTAGGTAGCATATATCCTTAAGTCACTGTTATAGGTAGCATACATCCTTAAGTCACTGTTATTGGTAGCATACACCCTTAAGTCACAGTTATAGGTAGCATACACCCTTAAGTCAGTTATAGGTAGCATACATCCTTAAGTCACAGTTAAAGGCCGCATACATCCTTAAGTCACAGTTATAGGTAGCATATATCCTTACGTCACAGTTACAGGTAGCATACATCCTTAAGTCACAGTTATAGATAGCATGCATCCTTAAGTCACAGTTAGGTAGCATACATCCTTATATATATATATATATATATATATATATATAATTAAGTCACAGTTAGGTAGCATACATCCTTAAGTCACAGTTAGGTAGCATACATCCTTAAGTCACAGTTATAGGTAGCATACATCCTAAGCCTAATGGGAGTATCAAAAACTTAAGTATTAAAGCTATTTTAATTATTTGATACTAAATAATAAACACAAAAAATAAAAAGTACAAAATGAAATAATGCATTAACTTAAATTCTATGAATTTTCAGTTTACACTAAATGAAATTGATTATGGAATATATCAATAATGAGAAACAGAAATTATTAAAATATCTTACATATAGCTACGAAAATCTTACACACAGCAGCAAAACCATTTTCACCAAATTTCCCTCTGACATAGTCAGTCCAGAATGACCTGTTGTGTTGAACTTTACATGGAATATTTGTATCAGGCACTTGCACTTTAACCCTTTCACCCCTATGTAATTTTAGTAGACTCTACCATGCATTGAACTGGATGTGTCCATTATGGTCTCAGTGAAAGGGTTAAGAAATGCATATTTGGTGTTCAGGTGTTAAAATTCAGCATACACACCCTTTAAAATTACAACCATTTTACCTGGAACACGGGTAATCATTTTTTTAACGACAGATCTAGTTTTGTTTCCAATATAAACAATAACCCGCGTTTATATATATTGACCAGAGGTCAACATGACAGGTCATTGTGGTCTGACTAAATATATACATATAAATAATTCTAAGACCATAAATAAACGATGATAATGTGGATCTTCATCAATGATCATTCATGTTTCAATAAATTACATTTATACGTATACATGGTACATGTAGATGTCAAACCCAGCACCTACTCATATGAAACTTCCCCACACGCTCAAATATCAAAATTGCTATAACTTAATTTAATTCATACAAGTGGACAATGAAGATAAACTTACCTTAAAACCCCCTCTAATTCAAACTACCCCCCCCCCCCCCCCCTCTAATTCAAAATTCTTGCAGGACTTTGTATACTTTTTCAAAATGTCATTTTATTCGTATTAGTTTGACAGATACTAAGTAATAACACCCTTGAGATGTTTAGAATTTTCTACAATCAAAGATCAGATTTTTCTACATACTGAAATTTAGACATATTTTATACATCTAAGTTAGACTGAGTTGAATTTTTACACACAAGATTCCGTTTCTGATATTTATTAGAAAGGGAGGTAACTCATATACAGTAAGAAAACAACTGTTTTCCACAAAATCACTATGAATGAGTGACATGGAGTAAGAATTTCTATAACATTTTAAGAGGATATTTAAATCTTGACTTTGAGCCATTAAAACATGATTGTTATTTACTTCATCTATCAAAACATTTTACAGGTTGAATTAATTACAATTCAAAAATACGTAATAAACCTTGGTTTCACTTTGTTTTACATCCTATTAACAGCAAAGGTTATCTAAGGACATAAAGAGAACCTCAAATATTGACAAGAAAGTTAATTTAAAACTAGTCAAGGGAAAGTGTAAGCAAGCTCACAAAGATATACCCTTTTTAATAACCCAATCAAAAATCCCTTCCTTCATACACATTTACATAACATGTATTTTACCTTTGCAAAGGTGGCAAATAAAATACACCAACTGTACTTTCACTTTGCCAATTTACAAAAAATCCAAAGACATTGAAATGAAAATGTCCAAGGGATGTAACTCAGTAATGAAAATATAAAAAAATGTTATCAAATTTTGATTTACAGTTGTGTTCACTCAAGAGCACTACCATCTAGGGTAGGAGTGAGAGTGAGGATACAGTATATATGAGTGCAATAGGTAATGAGAGCACCGGTTTAATTCTGTATGACTTGGTTTGGTTTGTTTGTGTTTTACGTCCTATTAACAGCTATATATGGTCATTTAAGGACGTGTAATATAAGGCTTTGGTGGCGGAGGAAAGCTTGAGTTCCTGGAAAAAAAACACCGACCTAAGGCCAGTAACTGGCGACTGCCCCATGTAGGTCTCAAACCCGCGTGGAGGGCTAGTGGTATCTAGTTATAATTCTGTATGATACGGGCCTGTCACTTCTCATCACACAATGAAAATTTTATTCGGGATGCCTAGATTTTCCACCCCACCACCACCGCCATTATTTTTGAAAATAGGTGTAAGTGAATAATTCTCAAACATTAACAAAATTATCCTCAGAAAAGATTTGTGTGTGTTTAACTGCCTGACAGTGATGAGCTTACGAGTTGCCATTTCACATCAAACATACATAATTAATTACCCTACTACATGGGTAAGGCTTCTCATTCTCACGTCACACATGTCCCTTTAAACCACGTTTTATACCAGAAACACACAGTGAAGGTTTTTGAGCAAGGACTGGTCGACGAAATTCACTCACAACATTTTTCAGGATAGAAAATCCATCCTTGTGATAATACAACCATTTCATGGCATTCAGCAACATTTTTATTGCTGTTTAGGTTAAACTTTCCCTCTCACGTTACATCCCCTTCTGTGCCTCTGAGTAAAGGCTTCACAGTCCCCTAACAACCCTTACTGTATTGTAGATTGGCCCTTTGGCATGACACCATTTCTGTCCAATTGGGGTACAACCCAAGGCCATTAATCCTTTTAGAGTTTAGTCCATTGTACTATGGGATAAACTTTCTACCTTTTAAGTTACAAGCATGTAAAAATCCCACTTCATTAATGTACAATCATGAATAATCTGTGATTGTACATAACAACCAACGCTGGCTCAGTGTCCGATCATTCACATCCTCATAACAGTCGTCTTCAAACACAATACTTTTCGATAAAGTCAACTGCTGAAGTTTCCCAGCCAATGTTTTAACTTGTAGCCTGCTCATCATCTAGAAAGGGTTTCACCGACTTGTGCTGCTTTAGTTCAGTGACAATCATGTGCATGTTCTGTTCTTCGAGTCCCTTGATGACATTGTCCAGTGTAGGGCGTCGGGACTTCTTGGTCCAGTCACAGAGGACCTGGTAGATCATCTCCTTTACATCTTTGGGATTGTTCGTAGTGTGTTCGGTGATCAGGGCCTCTCCATATTGGTACTTTGACTGGCCTGGAAACATATTGATCAGATTAATAATAGCCTATAACTATTTGAATCTTTCTTAAAAAACTTATTCTTACTATGTAGGAACCCGAAACACGTACTTGTTCAAGGCATTGCCATACCAAACACTTGTAAGAAGTTTCATTAAACTACGTTGAGGAATGAAATCACTAGAGCAATGACGAAGTTTTTTCTAAAAATAGTATCAGTGAACTTGACCTTCAACATAAAAACCCAAAACATTTACTTGATTTAGGCATTGCCAAACCAAATACTTGTATGTACTTTCATGAAATTCTGTTGAGGAATGCCCTAGATAGAGCGATGACAAATAGTTAACTTATGTACATACGTACGGGCCGAGTCCTATATCACCTTGAATTATTTTTCCTATAATCAAAAGTTAATTTAACAAAATTGAGAAGTTGCCCACACTTACTCATGATTGACCGTAAAGCCATTCTGTAATCTTGAGTACCACAAAGCTTAGCAGACAAAAACCGATTCACTTCATCCCATGGTACCTTCGGGCGGGGCTTAGGTTCTGAAACAGACACATGTCACAAGTTATTTATAAACTGGATGATAAAAAAAGGCAAATACATCATACCCAGGTGGTGTAAAGCAGATTTTAGGTTGTTTAATTTTACTAGAATATTTAGTATATTGTAGGATGTTTCACATTTAAATCACCAATATTATTTTAAATATAGCTTTCGATAGTCATGTGTCAGAGTACATCTCCAACAAGTTGAACACATTATACTTCAGGTATTCCTGTAAGGCATCACAAACATTCTAGAGATCCAAAGCACTAACTGGTGATAGTACAGAAAATTAAACCCAAACAAGAGGCACAAGGGGCTTGTACCACTCACCTGATTTTGTGAGGGTTAATGGTAAGATACTGGCAGCATATATAATTTGTCCTAACAAAGTGTATGTTATGTAAACAGCAAGGATAATGTACTTACTGTAGGCTGATATAATTTTCAATACCTTTCATAACATATATACCATATGCACCACAATAAACTACATTCAATATCAAGTCATTTGGTGAGCTGTCATCACCTGTAACAATTATTCTAACCCTACACCATCAGTTCTAGCAATTCAAGTTTTTATCCAGTGTCAGTTCTAGTAGTTGAAGTTCTTATCCAGTGCCAGTTCTAGTAGTTAAAGTTCAAATCCAGTGTCAGTTCTAGTAGTTAAAGTTCATATCCAGTGTCAGTTCTAGTAGTTAAAGTTCATATCCAGTGTCAGTTTTAGTAGTTAAAGTTCTTATCCACTGTCTTTTCTAGCAGTTTAAGATCTTATCCACTGTCTTTTCTAGCAGTTTAAGATCTTATCCAGTTTGAAAGAAGTAAAATTTCATATTCAATGTCAGTTCTAGAAGCTATAGTTCTTATCTAGATTCAGTATTTCTAGGTATCCATTAACCATTCAAAATGTAGTTTTAGTATTTGTATATTTTCCTGACTGCTGTTTGACAGACCAAGGAAGCACTTGCGGTCAATATGTGTACTGCTACATTGTATAAATATACCACAAAATTATACAGTGGACAAGAATATTTACATGTTTTTGCCGACAGCAGCCCTTCAAGTATCATGTAATATTGACTATCAATACACTTTCCCAGCCTTCACTATTTACCTGTGGTATCTACACCATTACTGGGCAGGGATGCAGGAGGTTCTGATGGTGCTTCTGATGGTGCTTCTGGTGGTGCTGCTTCTGGTCGTGCTTCTGATGGTGCTTCTGGTCGTGCTTCTGATGGTGCTTCTGGTCGTGCTTCTGATGGTGCTTCTGGTTGTGCTTCTGATGGTGCTTCTGTATAGTGATAGAATTGTCAGTGATTAACAATATGGTTACGGACACTACAAAACATTATTTCTTTTATATTGTGTCACACATGTACATATTGACTATCAACACCCTGTCCCAGCCTTCACTATTTACCTGTGGTATCTACTACACCGTTACTGGGCAGGGATGTAAGAGTTTCTGATGGTGCTTTTGATGGTGCTTCTGTAGTGATAGAATTGTCAGTGATATACTGCAGTCATGCTAATGTTTATACATATATCACATATTCAGGAAGATCATTTTGGAAAAGGGCTTGATCTTAACTGAATCAGAAAATGATATTTTAATCAAAATCTAGTGAGAAATTATAACAGTAATTTTTTTTTCCAAAAATTTTGTGGATTAAACCTTGACCTTGAGCAAATGACCTTGACCTTCAACTGGTCTTGAGAGATTGATGTCAGAAATAATTGTATAAAGTTATAAAAAAAAAATACATCAGGGATGCATGGAGAAGCCAATGCTCTAATGATCATGTAAAGATTCTGTAGATGAGACCATGATCTAAATCACAAGACTTTGGCCATCATTAGATCTTGGGAGACTGATGTCAAGACGCACAGACAAGTTGACATTCATAAATGTATTGTTAACAACAGTGGGTCACGACTGCGGAACACTTTCACTGTGAATGGCTATTCGTGATCGTGTGTGAGAAATATCATATAATCTTCGAGTTTACAACGTACATGGTCTGTGATAAATTAGTTCAGAGCTTCTCCGTCTATACGTAACAAGGGATCAACACAGGAGCCAAACTAATGATTTCACTTACCTGCTGCAGGAATGGACGTATACGATCCATTTTGGGTGTCCGTATTACCATCAGGGCTGTTAGTCCTGAAAGTACAATAAGATAAAATATTACACTCTAAAGATGATTTTCCTGTATACTTATGTTACTAAATCAAACTAACACTGTAGAGAAAGTCTATTCCTGTATACTTATGAAACTAAATCAAACTTACACTGTAGAGAAAGTCTATTCCTGTATACTTATGTAACTAAATCAAACTTACACTGTATAGAAAGTCTATTACTGTATACTTATGTTACTAAATCAAACTTAAACTGTATAGAAAGTCTATTGCTGTATATATATGTCACTAAATCAAACTTATACTGTAAAGAAAGTCTATTCCTGTATACTTATGTTACTTAATCAAATTTACACTGTAAAGAAAGTCTATTCCAGGGGGATCCTGTATAGTTATGTTACTAAATCAAACTTACACTGTATAGAAAGTCTATTCCTGTATACTTATGTAACTAAATCAAACTTAAACAGTATAGAAAGTCTATTCCTGTATATATATGTCACTAAATCAAACTTATACTGTAAAGAAAGTCTATTGGCAACCCTAATTTGAACCAAAGGTGATGGACTATCTTACTTCTTCGTATCTTTCTTCTTCTTCCTCTTCCGGATATAAATGATTATCCCGATAAAGGCGATGACACAAATAACAACAAGTATTGGGATTACAATGGCTGCCACAGGAGGGTTGTTGTCCTCCGAACCTGTCAACAAGAACAAGACATCAACATATGATTGTAATAACATCAACATATTATTGTAATAACATAAACCCCGACTGATAGGAGTTTTACAAAGTGACCAGATCGGCCTTCACTGTATTATAACAACCAAGTGACTCACAAGATACAACCATATCAGTAATTACCATTGGTATGCATTTATTAGCCGTTTAATTGTTCAAAGTGTACGGATGATTTGCTACGCATTTTATTAGCCTCGGCTGGCGATAAGTCTCAGAGTTTTATTTGAAGATAGTAGCTATAAGTAGCCATTGATAATTGTGCTTGTGATATAGTTTGGAATCTGTAGATTAGTGTGACCGTACTTACATGTAGTGTGATAGTAAGGTAGTTAAGGCTGGGAGAAAAAAGAGAGAGTGGGGTTGGAGAGTGGAGTAAGGGAGTTGAATAGAGGTGGATGAGTTAGGGAGACCGAGTAGATAGGTCTAGATCTAGAGACAGAGAGGAGAGTTAGAAAGTTAGAGTTAGATTGAGAATTATGAAAATAATAAGAATAGTAGTTTAAGCTGTAGTTTTAGGTCTGTGAAGTTTTACAGTTTATAGTTGGAGATAAGTTTGGAGTGGATAGATTGAGTTCACAATGGTAAAAATTTGTATATTTTGTGACTGATTAAAATACACTAGAGTGATGTAGTACCTAAATTGAGTCAATGTAAAGTACACTGGAGTGATGTAGTACCTAAAGTGAGTCTAGTACCTAAAGTGAGTCTAGTACCTAAAGTGAGTCTAGTACGGCAGTCTCAGTACTAATTACCTTTAGGTTTACAAGAAACATCAGTCTTTCTTGTCCCGCCGACCGGTACAGTTCCTGCTGAACAGTTTTGATAACTACGACATGCTGCTGTAGTAGATTCTTCATCAGAAAATGTTCCAACCGGACATGATTCACACTTTGTGTCATTGTTTGCTGAACCTGTAAAAGTATACTTGTATATTTTAATAATGTATTTTTGAAAAACCTGTATTTACAACTATGAACTAGAGATTTTTAATTTAAATATACATTTTACTAATACAAAGAGTAACATTAACAAGGAAGAAATAGTTTAGGACTGTCCATATTTCTATTTTTAAAAGACAACCATTGAAACCTGATATCTTTGTAAAAAATTGAAATTTCCTAACTTGTGGTATCAACATGACACCTGACCTTGGTACAACTAATTACAAATATAGCTGGAGAACTTACCGCGAACTTTTACCCCTTCTCCGACTGGACATCGACTGTGCAGTATACAATCACCCTCATACTGTGTCATTGGATTTTGAGATTTTGAATGATAGTAATAACCAGTATTACAAACACAAAAATTGTTTGTTGTGGAGTTACAGGAAATTACAAGATGAGCGTTACGTATAGGGCAGCCTTTCTCTTCTGTGCGACAAGTCTCACATGACTCTGCTCTGTTGTAGTTGATGGAGAATTTGCCAACCTCGCACTCCTTACATACGGAGTTGGTTAAGTTGTGTGTACAGTGTCTCTGTAAGTACGTCCCAGGTGAGCACATCAGACACACTATATCGGGTAAGTCGGGGTTGGGATACCGTGGAGGGGCTTCTATATCCGACGGATTCACAGCCGAAAGACTTCCACTCACGACTGGTGACAGTACAGGCAGTGGTCCCAACATGTAAACTAGTATCCACAGCCTGCTCATGGTCCTGTAACATATAATATTGCAGCCATCATTCATTTTTGCTTGAGGATATGTTTCTGTGATGCTGTCATATTGTTCAAATTGCCCCTTGTATTGACAGGTAGTAATCCATATTCTAGGACAATATGTACACTTTGTAAACTTGTTTTACAAGCAAACAGTTTAATACACCTTTAAAATTGGTCGATCCTTTAGGATAGCAAAGTTTCAAATTAACTTTAGTTTCCCATATTGTTGTGATGTTTTGACATGTTCGTTTATGTATCACCTATCAATTATATACAGTAAAACCTTGTTGAGTCGTATGTATAAGGTTATTTATGTCTTAAATATATGCAAGTTAGTCGCCAAATGCTGTCTGCCAGTGTGTTTATCAAATGTTCCCACAACACTGAGAAAAGAGTATACTGTAACAGTTATGCAATTAAAACGCACATACGACTGAGACTAATATCTGATAGTGACTACCTCGCTCGACTCCTTGTGTTAGTGCAGTCGGGTGCATCTTAATGTTAACAACTGAATTATCAGTACTCGTAATCGCATGTGTGATATTGAAAACTGTAAGTGTTAGCAGTTTCAATACTATCGATTGTTTAGCATACTATCGACAATTGTTATTGAGTTTATGAAGTTGTCATTAATTAATCAAACTGAGAGGTGTATACAATCGCAATCTATCACAACTAGTTGTCATAGACTGCTGATACAGACCCCGATCCTGGGTGTGGGTGTTGAATTCCTATATCATGCATAACGATATTAGATATGGAGAACTTTTAACAGTATTAGCTATAGCCACCCCACCCCCTTCTCCTCCCCAATGAGAGATGGAAACATGTAGATTACACACTAAGCAAACTGAAGAAAGACCAAGCAACAACATTCTCTAATTACCTGAATTCTACAGATCCTAAATCAAATTCATATATAAGGACATGAAATATCACACATTAAACTTAAACATTTTCATGTAATATTACCAATCATAAACCTGACAGAACCATCACGTTACCCACTAACGTCACACAACAAACAGGCAGACCAGTATTTTAACTTCAACACAATACCTGGATGGAAAACACTGCTGAATGAGGGCAGTACCTGCAGGTAGTCGTTCAAATAAATATAGTTTTGCATCGAAAAACAACAGACTGAAGAAAATATACACACATAGGCTACCACGCAGTCTTCTTACCTTTCCGAGCCGTTTCAGAAAATACCCAATGCAACCGCAGGCCAAATGTGTGGTAAATGTGTCAAACTATAGCTACTAATTCGTACATCGGGGAAACTAAAAGCTTAATTCTGGACAAACAAAAAGAATGAAATTTCATATTTTTTCAAATGAATCGGCACAGCATTGAGACGTTGTGAGAAGAGGGCTAGGCCTGTAAGGGTTTGTGTTGCGGAGGCTGGTTTTGGCAGCCATATCGTTCTACAACATTCCTGTGCTAATTTCATCTACTTACGCATCGTTGCTCAACACTCTATGACGAGTGAATTGTGGTTGTCATAAACTTGGCTGAAGAGAAGATACTTGTTTTTAGAATAACATGTCAACTTTACACTGATATCGTTGCATTATGATAATATCCATCTATAAATGATTAATTTTCGTTAACTGGAACCATAAGAACGATACTTCCGGAACAGGAATAGTGTTACTAAATGTAGAAAACGAAGTTCCGGGATTTGGAAAATATGTTTTTTTTCCCTCAAAATTAACTTATTAAATAATACCATTAATCATAATTTTGTCATATTCCTATCTAAATTAAACAATAAAATGAAACGAACACAAACAGAATTTTGATAAGATTCAAGTGATTTACAATATGAATTACATCAGAAGCTAAAAATAACTCATGTTAATAACAATGCGCATTTAAATAGATTGAATGATCTCATCATAATGTGTCTATAATGTTACGCAATCGCAGGTTCACGGGATCATGCAGTAGCAGAGAAACGGAGGGGGTCAAAATGAGGAACGTAAGAGTTAATCAGCCCGGCCAGAGACATATAAAGCCAGTATAACATTCATGAGTTGTAGCGGTGACGGAGTCTTAAGATCATTACTTGAACCGAAAATCTATTTGACAACCTCGGGGAAAAAAAAAAAAAAAACGAAATTAATTGCATCGCTCGGCTGAGCGTTGAGGATTTAGTATACTTAACGGACGCGTGTTACACATATATGCATATTATTAACAATTAATAAACAATACATATTCGATACAGTGTGTATAAACTCTCTATCACTCGGTCAAAGCACGGACTTAGATGATCTAATTCCGTGGTCAAAGCATGACAAAGGGATCGGACTAGTCGGTCTAAAACTATCCTCGACATCCAGGGTTACGCAACACCCCTAGCAAGTTTGAAGGCACGAAGATAGCTGTTTGATTGGTCTCAGGTAAAAAAAATACCTGACCAATCGCTAGGCTGATACCTGTCCTTTGAAGATTACAAAGGAGAGACGCCCGACTTCAAAGCCTGTCAATTTTTACCGTTACGTGACCGCGAGATTCTTTTGATGTAAATCAGAGGATCGAGCTGGTCATCTCGTCTCATCCACAAGAAGCTGCGATAACGTAGCTTTCTGACGACGAGAGAATGTTTTTATATATTGCGTCGTCAGAGCTACGAAGCGGTCCAACTAATGGAGCAAAATCAAAAGTGTAAATCTGTAAGCTTGCATATAATTCAAGCCTCGTATGAGTATAATATTATCAAAATATTGCATAATTGTTGAAAAAACGAATCCTTACCCATGCAAAAAACACTTATACGAAATTAACAAAGTCAGTCTTGGGGGAAAATATAGAAACGACCGCCATGACAGATCACGCGTGATGTTATCTCAATTAGCCTTTCTATATATGGCCTGCATGGCCAAATAAAGTATTACTACTGATGCCGCCATGTTTACTACAATTTCCATATTGGGTCAAGACACCCATATTTGGACGTCTGACCTATATCGGAAGAGAGCCGAACTTTCCAACATGGCGGTCAATTCAGATTTCGATTACGCTTGCTACGTTAACTTGATAATTTAACGACATTTTAGGCAGAGTTAAACTTCAAGTTGGGCAGGATATCAACAGAAATAGTTCATACTACAACCTTATTTATGGATGCGGACCAGTGTGCTGTCAATTAATTCTAAAATCGCCCCGGTGTGATTCACACCGGGCTTGCTCCATTACAAGGCATGGATCGATTTAATACCCGCCCGGAGCAGAGGAGGCCGGGTATTAATATTAGTACAAGTCCACAAGGTGCTGTACATTGTGCCTTCAATTTTGCAATGACATATACCAGGGATGCAGAGAGCGAAAGTGAGCGTAACCACTGAAGTATCGAGAATGCGGTCTCAGAGAATCGATTGCTAATTATTCTATGATTAATTATTGCTTGATAAAATTACAAAAGGTCAAGAATGAAAAAATACATAAAATTATAAATCTAAGTCACACTCTAATAATGCCCCTGATAGCACCATAACACTTCTAAAGTGTTATCATAAGTGTAGTTGCAATTTAGACTAGAACATCCTTTCCCCTGGGAAAGAAATGTTAAAATTGAAACGATATAAGGAAGAGATTGTGTTTTTGAGAGTGAGTGGATGGGTGGGTGGGAGAGACTGAGTTGTGTTGTTCCAGATACTTGTTCTGTCATCTGCCCCATTTGTATTCCGCCTTTTCGTATTGCAGAGTTATCTTCTCTTTGGAGCAGGTATTGATTGTTGCGTCACCTGTTTGTGAGAGAAACGTCATCATTGTTGAGAAAACGACGTAATTTTCTCACACAAACCAATGACGTAACAATCAATACCTGTTCCCAAGAGAAGATAACTCTGCAATACGCAAAGACGGAATACAACATATTTAGCGAGGTAACACAGCGATAATCTTCCACTACTTCAAATATCGTACCCGCCGATACCGTTTTCTTTTTGTCTTAACAAAACTTAGTAAGTGCATCTATATCCACTGACATTGAAAAATCCGAAGAAATGCTCGACTTATATAAACTTCATTTATTTTAAAACAAATATGAAACAAGTTATTACAACCTTTATTAATCACACTTGTTAGCCAGGATGTTAGTCCTGGAGCATCCTCGATACTCCATTACATGGGTTACGCTCACTTTTGCTCTCTGCGCCCCTGAAATATGTCATAGCAAAATTGAAGGCACAAAGATAGCTCTTTGATTGGTCTCAGGTACAAAAACCTGACCAATCGCTAGGCTAGCTGATACCTGCCCTTTGAAGAATACAAAGGAGCGACACCCGACTTCGAAGCCAGTCAAATTTGTTTACCGTTACGCGACCGCGAGATTATTTTGATGTACATCAAAGGCTCAAACTAGTCTTCTCGTCTCATCATCAAGGAGCTAGCTCGAGGTGCACGCCGAACTTTCAATTTTGCTATGACATATTCCAAGGGTGCGGAGAGCATAAGTGAGCGCAATCCCTCGATATCGAGGATGGTCCTGGTGTGAAAGGTGCAAGGCAACCACCTCATATTTCCACCCGTAATTTGAACCTCCAGCACGTCCAAATGACGAGGTATAGATAGACCGAATACAAATGGTCTCGACATATCTTGCTCAGAAATGGCAATCGTTATGCCAGCATGAAAGAGGTTACATAGACCCTTATTGAAAACATGTTTTTAGAAAAATACAATATTTATTTAAAAGGGTTACAATAATGGATGAAAATGTATCGTTATCGCCAACCACTATGGTGACCCTTCAAAGGGTTAAAATAGTGGTTGCATCTGCGCCCACCTGTGTAGCCGGGTTACTACAATAATGAATAAATTAAATTTTCATGTTTCTGTCTTGATGAAGGGGCAGATCGCTTTTCAAATTTCTTTGCCTGCACTGTCCTTATTACTTCTTTGCCCATATACACATGTATCTATTTAGTAAAACGCATCCAACCAACATTTGTTTGTTCGGATCCAGTGCCAATATTGGATCATACTGTCGTTATTAGTTATGAGGCCTATATCGCATTAGATAGTATAGTATCACGGACTTGGATAACATCTAATTCCGTGGTAGTATGCAGTATTAGATTAATATACTACTATTCGCAAGGAAACAATGAAGTGTTAATGACAAGGGATACTTTTTCTATGGTTAAAACCTTACCGTACTTATCAGTACTCTTACTTTACGAAGGTTAACATCGGCTAAATTTCACTATATTCTTATAAATTATAGAAGAAATAACAAAAGTTATAACTGTGGTTTGGTTTGGTTGGTTTGGTTTAGTATTGTTTAGTACTTATTAACATCCTATCAACAGCTATGGTCATTTAAGGACGACCTACCCTGTGTGCAAGATGCATGCGTGTAGTGTATGTGTGTGTTTTGGGAGGCTGCGATATGTTCGTGTTTGTCTCCTTGTGATAGCGCGGAACTGATGCCGACTTTATAGTGCTACCTCACTGAAACATACTGCCGATGACACACAGCAGGGCACCCCACCCAGTCACATTATAACTGTAACTTTTCAAAGGTATGATTATGTGATTGATACCTTCTTCGTATGACAGGGTGACCGTCACAACATTTCGTTCTTTTTGTTTTAATGCATCGATAAAGAACTACATACATGACTGCACAACTGCTTTATTTCATGCTACATCATTCAACATGCGAATGTTTTCTATGCGAACTCGTGCATATCACAATTAAGATATACATACTAATGCATGCATTAGGTAGGACATCCATTGGGTTTTTTGTGTGAGACAGCATTTTTTTTTTTTAAATGATTAAAAACAATATATTAAGATCAAGAAATATCAATAAAACACGTGGCTACATCTATCACTTTCCGAACTAGAGTAGCTAGAACTGTTACAAAGAAGTGCTAAGACAAATGTACGTGTCTTAAAAATCTGTTAAAATACAGTTCCTTCGTCAAAAAACTGATTCCAAAAGGTTTAACTATTGCCGATGCAACATTAAGTTAAGGAGCAGTACTGAGATGTGTGGAACAATCATTAATGCTCAAACAATAAGGGAGTTTGAAATTTGTAATTAACCATGAACATTTAAAGAAACACTCTGTGATACGTGAAATACAATAAAACTATGTTTTGCTAATTTATAATGCTGTTATTGACACTTCTATAAACTCTTTGTAAATATTTGTTGATATGGACCTAGAGGCTTAAATTTAAGCCCTCTTCCAAATTATAATTATTATTCAATTCAATTCAATTGAATTATTTTGAAGACATAAACGACATACATAATTAATATGTTAGGTTATCAAATAAGTTCAGAAGTTTTGAATATACATACATATTTTATATTGAAGAGTTATTAGACAATAAAAGCTTGAGTTCATTATATCACGGAATTAGATTAAATTCCGTGATTATATAAACAATTACATTATGACCCCCACGGAATTTTTACTATGAGGCATCCCTTTTTATTTCAACGAACGGGAATTCGAATAAGTGTCAGTTATTTAATAGAAAATATCCTTATAATCCTAAAATACTGTTTGGGACAGACAGTTGTGTTCAATCTCATTAATATAATCAACACAGAAACATTTCTCCTCAGTACTTGACAGGTTTGACAGCTAGTAAACAAACCCACGTGTATGCCTACTTTGTTGTTCCCAGGAAATGACTTAATGCACCTACAACGCATGCGTCACTTCACTAGCAACCATGTCAACAAAGATGGCGGATTGACGGACGGAATATCGTGATGCATGCACAAATCTTATGAATTGTTCACGAAGACTACCACAGACATGACTTTAAATCCATTAGCAAACCCGAAAGGGGTGAAACTTGCGTGTGAGCTCTGTCAGAAGCCAGCATTTATTCAGTGCACGAAATGCCGCGTAACTTATTACTGGTGAGTGGGAGAAAAAGTCATCTGACATGCAACATGATGGTAGGCCTACATGTAACCGGTGAGACGTCTGATCGTAAAACATGATAGACTGCTATGGATGGGTCATTGACGTAATTAAGGGCTTTATACTAGATCACTGTTTTTATTTGTAATCAATAGTAAGAGTAAATTGATTTGTCTACAGACGTAAGAATAATATGAGAACATACCGTGCTATATTGTGGTTAGGCTACTCTAGTCTAGCGCTGGAAGTAGACAGAGGAGAAAGTATTGGAAAAGTCAGATTGTATTTGGTCACGTCAGACAGTCAATATAAGCGTATCATTAGATAGATATAGGATTTACTGAAACGCTTGGTACCAACATTTTCGATGCTACAATATGGTAAACCATTTATACATTATTGTGTGTACACTACACAGTACATACAGTTGTAGTTGTTTGTTACAGTCGACTCACCAGCTAGATCATAATTACCATTGGTTATGAATGACATTGTAAACAATAGACATGATATTTGATGAATATTTAAACATAAATAAAGAAGTTAAGGAATCCATGGTAAACTTTATCATAAAATAAATATATATCTGATGATTTATATCCAAACTGTCCGTGCATCACTATTCACGACTACTGTTACACAATAACTAGTCGGGAACCAGTAGTAGGAATTTCCATGTTGCTCAATTGTAAGAGCTTTGTAGTTTTATGTTCGACTCTAGAAAATATTAAACCTGGTTACATAAAAATCCAGACAATGTCTGCTCAGCATATATACTCATAAACAGATTGATAAATCAGTATTATGGTATAGGTTCACCATTTTAATTTGAGACAAGCATGCTCCTCATCATAGGAAAAATGTGTGTTTCATTCCAATGTGTTATTGTTTGGAAATTGTTGTCATACACTTCATTTAGTTGGTTACTTTCTGTTTTGCCTCTTACCTTATTATGACCACATATTCAGTTGACCTAGATACAAAGCAAATACCATTCCACATCTGATCATCAATGTTTTGACCAATATATAATTATGTAATTAATTCAGCTGAACAAGCCTGAAAATAACATACAACATATACCATAGATTAGGTTTTCATCTTTCCAGATGTCTTGACATCAAATCTAGACATGTTAGCAACAGCAAACCTGCATGATTTTAACCCTTTTACCCTATGTAACTTTAGTAGACATTATCATGCTTTGATATGGAAGAGTTCATTATGGTCTACAGTGGTGAAGGGGTAAAATTCCTCCCAAGCATTTTGTTGATAGCATCATAATAAATTCTTAGTCTGAATTATCATTTAATACATTTTCCTTTGTGATACAAAATGTAGGTCTGTATTTGACATAATAAAGGCACTTGTTCTAGTAAGTGTGCCCAAAGGAACTTTAGAAATATAATTCAAATGCTTATCATAATATTCCAAAAAAAATCCATTTAATACAGGTTTTATATTTTCTTGAAGTGATCTGGTTGGTTTTGTTAAAATTGTGCTGTTCACAAGTATTTTCGACGAAACAAAGCTGCCATGAACATACTAACCCTTTCACCACTGTAGACCATAATGGACTTGTCCATATCAATGCGTGGTAGTGTCTACTTAAGTTATATAGGGGTGAAAGGGGTAAGTGACAAAAGCAATCTATTAGAATAATATACTACTTGATTGATATTAGACATTTAATTTAGATGTAGGAAAAGAGACCCCCACATCTGTGCCTTGTCGGCAAAATAGTCAAAGAAGTCACTTAAGTTGTTTGATGTAAAAACCTGTCTTATTGTTACCTAGGTGACTATGTAATTGTATATATAATAGACAGTTTTGACTGTTTTCCTTCTAAAATTATTATACATAAAACAGACTTGTAACAGGAAAGAAAATAGTGTGCTTCCATCGGGGATCAAACCCTCGATCTCCAGGTTCCTAGTCGCACGCTCTACCACTAAGATAAAGGGAAATTCCCTCTAGCTCGAAGCTAGAGGGCAACTTTAATCCTATGTACAACTAAAATCTACCACACTACTCCCCCTTTTTAAATGTGTTCGCCCTCAAACACCACAACCCAGGTTCTAACTCCCTGTCACCACAGGGAGGGCCACGGACACCATTTGTAACAGGAAAGAAAATAGTGTACGTGCTTCCACTGGGGATCAAACCCTCGACTTCCAGGTTCTTAGTCGGACGCTCTACCACTGAGCTAAAGGGAAATTCGCTCTAGCTCGAAGCTAGAAGGCCACCATAACCCTATGTACAATTTAAATTGCCAGACTGTTGACTGATAAGGCATGAAACAACAGAAGAGTAAGAGACCCCTACGTGTTATTTACCTATATTGTGTGATGACATTATTGATGTAAATAATTGATCAAACGAACCGTTTATTTTTGTAGTGGGGTAGAACATCAGAAAGCCGACTGGATGGGAATTCATGAAAAAATCTGCCAGAGTTTGATCCAACTGAGACAGGCGTCACCATTCTTACCATCAGAGGAAGAAAGACAGAAAAGGATAAATCACCTCAATGTTAAAAAGGTTAGTTATATTTTTTCTGTGTGTTATATCAGATCAGTGTGGATTTTACAGAAATGTGGTAAATTTTTCATGTATTTTTTAATTTTAAATTTAATTTTAATTTTAAAATTTTCTTCATTTTAATGCAGTAGGTCAGGATTCCACCAACACACTAGAATTACTCTTACTTTTAATGAAAGAATAACAAAGGGAAAATGTGTATGACCCTGTCATAAAATTTGGGGGCATATATAGTGTTGCCAATGCCGTCCCATCGCGTCCCGTCCTGTCCTGATTCAATGTAAACACCTAAACAACTTCAAATTGAAGTAATAGTACCTTGTGTGTGTACTTATTTCAGGGTATCAAGATCAAAGTGGTTGTAACTATTTATAGAATATCAAACACTGAAACCAATTTACATGGTGACGGGGGCATTCATGTATTACAGACATTTTCTGGGTTTTTTTTCAATAATTTATTTTCACTGCTGATTTTCATATTTAGCTAACTGTCATTATTTATAAAAGTCTATCACATCAGCTGTTAAGTGACGTCATCAACAGTAATATCATGGAAACAATGAACAAAAATGTCCTGTTTGTGTGTGAATTAACTATTTGTATTCAAATATGGATGTGATAAAAGGGTGGGGACCAATCGTTCACTTACCCTGGTGTATCCGCACTTTTCTTGGTGTGACATTTCCTTGTCTCACCCTTGGGTTGAGATGGGGGGATTCCCCTATTCATAACAATTGTATGACGTCACATCAACAATTCATTTAAGTCACGGCAACAATGCATCAACATCACGTTAACCATGCATTTAGCCTGTAACAGTAACATTACATTATGTATATGATACACAATGGGAGAACAGGGTAAGAGAAAAAGAATCATTTACCCCCTTTGGGGGTGAGATAACGGAAAACTTGGACATAGAATGTGTGTTGCTATTAAGGTCATTTTGAAATTTCAAATAGACCTGTCTTTTTTTAAATTTATGAAAATATTAAATAACTTTATTTATGGAAGCTCTCTACCTTATCATCTGACTTGTATATCTCGTTATGTTAGGTTGTATACAAGTTAATAGTAAAAGAAACATTTTTATTTTAGCGACAAATGATTGACCTCACCAGAACTACGGGCCAGAAGCTGCTGTTTGAGGGACGACATGAGCAGGCAGTACCAGCAGCCATGCAATCCCTGAGATTTGCTATAGATGTACATGGTTTAGCCAGCATAGAACTTGTGCCGTCATATCTCATACTGGGGGAGGCTAGTATTGGTAAGTGATGGGGAATTACCTCATACTGGGGGGGGGGCTAGTATTGGTGCGTGAGGGGTGATTACCTCATAATGGGGGAGTTTAGAGTTTAGTATTGGTAAGTGAGGAGGGATTACCTCATAATGGGGGGGGGGGGGCTAGTATTGGTAAGTGAGGGGTGATAACCTCATATTGGGGGAGGCTAGTATTGAATATATCAATCTGTTTATGAGTATGCTGAGCAGTCAATCCCTGAGATTTGCTATAGATGTGCATGGTTTAGCCAGCATAGAACTTGTGCCGTCATATCTCATACTGGCGGAGGCTAGTATTGGTAAGTGAGGAGTGATTACAATGTAATGTATCAAGTGTAATGTGTACAATGTAATGTGTACAGTGTAATATGTACAGTGTAATGTATCAAGTGTAATGTGTACAGTATTATATAACAAGTGTAATGTGTACAGTGCAATGTATCAAGTGTAATGTGTACAATGTAATATATCAGGTGTAATGTGTATAGTGTAATGTATCAAGTGTAATGTGTATAGTGTAATGTATCAAGTGTAATGTGTATAGTGTAATTATCAGGTGTAATGTGTATAGTGTAATGTATCAAGTGTAATGTGTACAGTATTATATATCAAGTGTAATGTATATAGTGTAATGTATCAAGTGTAATGTGTACAGTATTATATATCAAGTGTTATGTGTACAGTGTAATGTATCAAGTGTAATGTGTACAATGTAATGTATCAGGTGTAATGTGTATAGTGTCATGTATCAGGTGTAATGTATATAGTGTAATGTATCAAGTGTAATGTGTACAGTGTAATGTATCAATTGTATTGTGTACAGTGTAATATATCAAGTGTAATGTGTATAGTGTAATATATCAAGTGTAATGTATCAAGTGTAATGTGTACAGTATTATATTTCAAGTGTAATGTGTATAGTGTAATGTATGTAGTGTAATATATGAAGTGTAATGTGTCCAGTATTATGTATCAAGTGTAATGTGTATAGTATAATGTATCAAGTTTAATGTGTACAATGTAATGTGTACAGTGTAATATGTACAGTGTAATGAATCAAGTGTAATGTGTACAGTATTATATATCAAGTGTAATGTGTACAGTGTAATGTATCGGGTGTAATGTGTACAATGTAATGTATCAGGTGTAATGTGTATAGTGTAATGTATCAGGTGTAATGTGTATAGTGAAATGTAGCAGGTGTAATGTCTATAGTGTAATGTATCAAGTGTAATGTGTATATTGTATTTTACCAGGTGTAATGTGTATAGTGTAATGTATCAAGTGTAATGTGTACAGTATTATATAGCAAGTGTAATGTGTATAGTGTAATGTATCAGGTGTAATGTGTACAGTATTATGAATCAAGTGTAATGTGTATAGTGTAATGTACCAGGTGTAATGTGTACAGTATTATGTATCAAGTGTAATGTGTATAGTGTAGTGTATCAAGTGTAATATGTATAGTGTAATGTATCAAGTGTAATGTGTATATTGTAATGTACCAGGTGTAATGTGTATAGTGTAATGTATCAGGTGTATAGTGTAATGTATCAGGTGTAATGTGTATAGTGTAATGTATCAGGTGTATAGTGTAATGTATCAAGTGTATAGTGTTATGTATCAGGTGTATAGTGTAATGTATCAGGTGTATAGTGTATAGTGTTATATATCAAGTGTAATGTATACAGTGTAATGTGTATAGTGTAATATGTATAGTGTAATGTGTACAGTGTAATATAATTAGTGTAATGTATCAAGTATAATGTGTAAAGTGTGTTATATATGAAGTGTAATGTGTACAGTGTAATGTGTACAGTTTTATATTTACAGTGTAATATGTCAAGTGTAATGTGTTTACAGGACTGGGTCGCCTGTCACAAGCTGAGGAGTACTTAGCACAGGCCCAGTGGACTGCCCTCAAAACACCAGAGTGTTCTAATGCAATCAAATCCAAACTATACAGAAACCTTGGCCTTCTGTATGCAGCCAAGGGACAATACGACGACTCTCTCAGACAGCACGCAGACGATGTAAGTGAATCTGGCGATCCACAATAATTTGGAAGAAAATATTTCCTGAAAAATAATGATTAAATAGAACAACAGGTCCAGAGTTTTCATTTCTTTTAAAAACACCTATAACTATATGTATGTAAAAAGATGATTATCTGATTCTTTCATATCAATCACTAGAATTTAGTCAGAAACCACAAAAAGGAGTCAAAATTTCTGTATTGCGGCATCAGGGTGTCAATTTCAGAGTACAATGTATATATATTAACATAATAACAATGTATATATCATCATATAATTAATTACATTGTATACTTCGACACATACTAACAGTGTAAATTTGCAATCATTTAAATGACAATGTATACCAATATGAAGCACATGAGCTGTTTTTTCTATTTTTAGATTTATCACGCCTCAGAAGACTTCGGTACTGATGACATCAGGACATCAGGAGGATACTATCACATGGCCAATGTTTTCTTCCGCCAAGGCAGGATGGACATAGCTGATACACTCTATAGACAGGTGTGTATAACATACAGACTATCACCTAACATACAGACAGGTGTATATAACATACAGGGTATCACCTAGCATACACATACACACTATCACCTAACATACAGACATGTGTATATAACATACTGACTATCACCTAAAATACAGACAGGTGTGTATAACATACAGACAGGTGTATAACATACATACTATCACCTAACATACAGACAGGTGTGTATAACATACAGACTATCACCTAACATACAGACAGATGTATATAGCATACAGGGTATCTCCTAGCATACACATACAGACTATCACCTAACATACAGACAGGTGTGTATAACATACAGACAGGTGTATAACATACATACTATCACCTAACATACAGACAGGTGTATAACATACATACTATCACCTAACATACAGACAGGTATATAACATACAGATGATCACCTAACATACAGACAGGTGTGTATAACATACAGAGTATCACCTAACATACAGACAGGTGTGTATAACATACAGGGTATCACCTAACATACAGACAGGTGTGTATAACATACAGACTATCACCTGACATACAGACAGGTGTATAACATACAGACTATCACCTAACATACAGACAGGTGTGTATAACATACAGGGTATCACCTAGCATACAGACAGGTGTGTATAACATACAGATAGGTGTATAACATACAGACTATCACCTGACATACAGACAGGTGTATAACATACAGATGATCACCTAACATACAGACAGATGTGTATAACATACAGGGTATCACCTAACATACAGACAGGTGTGTATAACATACAGGGTATCACCTAACATACAGACAGGTGTGTATAACATACAGACAGGTGTATAACATACAGACTATCACCTAACATACAGACAGGTGTATAACATACAGACTATCACCTAACATACCGACAGGTGTGTATAACATACAGACAGGTGTGTAACATACAGACTATCACCTAACATACAGACAGATGTATAACATACAGACTATAACATACAGACAGGTGTATAACATACAGACAAGTGTGTATAACATACAGACAGGTGTGTATAACATACACACTATAACATACAGATAGGTGTATACCATACAGACTATCACATAACATACAGACAGGTGTGTATAACATACAGACAGGTGTATAACATACAGACAGGTGTATAACATACAGACTATCACATAACATACAGACAGGTGTGTATAACATACAGACTATCACCTAACATACAGACAGGTATATAACATACAGACTATAACATACAGACAGGTGTATAACATACAGACAGGTGTATAATATACAGACAGGTGTGTATAACATACAGACAGGTGTGTATAACATACAGACAGGTGTGTATAACATACAGACAGGTGTATAACATACAGACAGGTGTGTATAACATACAGACAGGTGTGTATAACATACAGACAGGTGTGTATAACATACAGACAGGTGTGTATAACATACAGACAGGTGTGTATAACATACAGACAGGTGTGTATAACATACAGACAGGTGTGTATAACATACAGACAGGTGTGTATAACATACAGACAGGTGTGTATAACATACAGACAGGTGTGTATAACATACAGACAGGTGTGTATAACATACAGACAGGTGTGTATAACATACAGACAGGTGTGTATAACATACAGACAGGTGTATAACATACAGACAGGTGTATATAACATACAGACAGGTGTGTATAACATACAGACAGGTGTGTATAACATACAGACAGGTGTGTATAACATACAGACAGGTGTGTATAACATACAGACAGGTGTGTATAACATACAGACAGGTGTGTATAACATACAGACAGGTGTGTATAACATACAGACAGGTGTGTATAACATACAGACAGGTGTGTATAACATACAGACAGGTGTGTATAACATACAGACAGGTGTGTATAACATACAGACAGGTGTGTATAACATACAGACAGGTGTGTATAACATACAGACAGGTGTGTATAACATACAGACAGGTGTGTATAACATACAGACAGGTGTATATAACATACAGACAGGTGTATAACATACAGACAGGTGTATATAATACAGACAGGTGTATAACATACAGACAGGTGTATAACATACAGACAGGTGTATATCATACAGACAGGTGTATAACATACAGACTATCACCTAACATACAGACAGGTGTATAACATACAGACAGGTGTATATAACATACAGACAGGTGTGTATAACATACAGACAGGTGTGTATAACATACAGACAGGTGTATAACATACAGACATGTGTGTATACCATACAGACAGGTGTGTATAACATACAGACAGGTGTGTATAACATACAGACAGGTGTGTATAACATACAGACAGGTGTGTATAACATACAGACAGGTGTATATAACATACAGACAGGTGTATATCATACAGACAGGTGTATAACATACAGACTATCACCTAACATACAGACAGGTGTGTATAACATACAGACAGGTGTATAACATACAGACTATCACCTAACATACAGACAGGTGTATAACATACAGACAGGTGTATAACATACAGACAGGTGTATAACATACAGACAGGTGTGTATAACATACAGACTATAACATACAGACAGGTGTGTAACATACAGACAGGTGTGTATAACATACAGACTATCACATAACATACAGACAGGTGTATAACATACAGACAGGTGTATAACATACAGACAGGTGTATAACATACAGACAGGTGTATAACATACAGACAGGTGTGTATAACATACAGACTATAACATACAGACAGGTGTGTAACATACAGACAGGTGTGTATAACATACAGACTATCACATAACATACAGACAGGTGTGTATAACATACAGACTATCACATAACATACAGACAAGTGTGTATAACATACAGACTTTCACCTAACATACAGACAGGTGTATATAACATACAGACTATAACATACAGATATTGTACTTTCACTTGTGACATCACAACTACATGCATGACCTTGTAATGTCACTAAAGGATGTGCCTCCATATGTGTGGTATACATGTGTATATGTATGTGTGTTAGAGGCAGGGTACATCAATTTAGAATCTTTCCTATTGCTTAGATTAAAAACTTTTTGTAGTAAAAACATCACCAAATCACCCAAACCAATATGTGCGTTGTTCTTTAGTGTAGGCATCGATACCAGAGACTGAATTTTTGAATATTCCTTTTTGACATGTTGACAGGTGGCAGAAATTTGGTACAAACACCTACTACAGATAGTGAAGGTACGCACAGCCACCCCAGATGTGCCTAAGGGCATTGGCCCAGTCATATCTGAGGAAAGTCTGGAGGAGGAGGACAGTCTAGGTAAGTACAACACCCTGTACTATTACAGCAGACAGTGATAGGCTGGTCTTGTTTCCCCGAACAATTCCTACAGTAAAGTACCATCATTTCAGGATTTTGAAAATAGGTCCAGTGCTTCATTCACTATGTGTATCTCCAAATTGAGGAACCAGATTAGTTTGGATATAATTGTAAAAGTTTAAGAAGTGCCCATGAATCTTGAAGTTTACTGTGCACATATATATATAGGATCTTAAATGAGTTTTCATTTCATATGAGATTTTATTAAATGAGTCTTAGGAGTTTTTATTTTTGCTAGCCTTAGCGCGCAAAAAATAAAACTTCGAGACGAGTTTCATAAAAGCTCATATGAAATGAAAACAATTTTAAGATACTTTTTATAACATAACTCAGAAAACTTACATTTTGGCAGGTTTTAAAGCCAAAATGTAGAGGGCTCAATCAAAGGGAGACAGACATTTTGTTGCGCCATTCACAATTTATGACGTCACGTTATTGTCCATATTATGACGTCACAATCGATTTTTGACTGGCAAAGCCAATGAAAAACGCTCCAGGGTATATTTCACTAGTGACATATATGTAAAAATATTACACGGGCGAATTCACTGGATAACAGGCCGATTATGTGATAAAAATATTTGCGTTTCCTTTACACTGTCCTCAGAAAAACCTACAAACTAATAATGTTGTTATAATCCAATAAAAGCATGAACAGTAACATGTGAATGTCTCCAATCAGAAACTGTTTGTCTCTCTCCATCAAACTATGTGGGGACCAATCATGACACGATGTCAAATTCAAATGTGACAGAAATTTCAGATTGACTGAAGGAACTGGTAACCATAGAAAGCAAGATCATTTTCCCATAAAAATGGGAAAAAAAATTGCATTGCTATCCTTAAATATCTATACCGTCTATTAAATGTTCAATTCCTCAGTATCGTTGAGACTAGATATTGACATGTTTTATTTTCAGATGAAGCGCAGGAAGCTGAGGCTGTCCAGGTTTTAAATGCCATATACGACATGAGAGAACATCAGTCCAACAGACGGGCCCAGGATCTGGCCAAGGTCAGCCATGCACTGGCCATGCTTTACTTCATACTCATGGACATCACTAAGGTAAATTTACAAGGTCAAGGTCAGTAATACCCTTCATTTACAAGGTCAAGGTCAGTCATGCACTGGGCCATGCTTTACTTCATACTCATGGACATCGCTAAGGTAAATTTACAAGGTCAAGGTCAGTCATGCACTGGGCCATGCTTTACTTCATACTCATGGACATCTCTAAGGTAAATTTACAAGGTCAAGGTCAGTCATGCACTGGCCATGCTTTACTTCATGCTCATGGACATCACTAAGGTAAATTTACAAGGTCAAGGTCAGTCATACCCTTCATTTACAAGGTCAAGGTCAGTCATGCACTGGCCATGCTTTACTTCATACTCAAGGACATCACTAAGGAACATTTACAAGGTCAAGGTCAGTCATACCCTTAATTTATGAGGTCAGTTATGCACTAGCCATGCTTTACTTCATACTCATGGACATCACTAAGGTAAATTTACAAGGTCAAGGTCGGTCATGCACTGGCCATGCTTTACTTCATACTCAAGGACATCACTAATGAACATTTACAAGGTCAAGGTCAGTCATACCCTTCATTTACAAGGTCAAGGTTAGTCATGCACTGGCCATGCTTTACTTCATACTCATCGACACCAATAAGGTAAATGTATAAGGTCAAGGTCAGTCATACCCTTCATACCCATGGATATCAGTAAGGTACATTTACAAGGTCAAGGTCAGTCATCCACTGGCCATGCTTTACTTCATACTCATGGACATAACTAAGGTAAATTTACAAGGTCAAGGTCAGTCATGCACTAGCCATGCTTTACTTCATACTCATGTACATCACTAAGGTAAATTTACAAGGTCAAGGTCGGTCATGCACTGGCCATGCTTTACTTCATACTCATGGACACCAATAAGGTAAATGTATAAGGTCAAGGTCAGTCTTCCCCTTCATCCCCATGGACATCAATCAGTAAGGTACATTTACAAGGACAAGGTCAGCCGTGTCTGTTCTTCATACTCAGACATCACTACAGCAGTAACGTCAAGGTCAGTCATACCCTTCATTTACAAGGTCAAGGTTAGTCATGCACTGGCCATGCTTTACTTCATACTCAAGGACATCACTAAGGAACATGTACAAGGTCAAGGTCAGTCATACCCTTAATTTACAAGGTCAAGGTCAGTCATGCACTGGCCATACTTTACTTCATACTCAAGGACATCACTAAGGAACATTTACAAGGTCAAGGTCAGTCATCCCCTTAATTTATGAGGTCAGTTATGCACTAGCCATGCTTTACTTCATACTCATGTACATCACTAAGGTAAATTTACAAGGTCAAGGTCGGTCATGCACTGGCCTTGCTTTACTTCATACTCATGGACATCACTAAGGTAAATGTACAAGGTCAAGGTCAGTCATGCACTTGCCATGCTTTACTTCATACTCATGGACATCACTTAGGTAAATTTACAAGGTCAAGGTCAGTCATGCGCTGGCCATGCTTTACTTCATACTCATGGACATAACTAAGGTAAATTTACAAGGTCAAGGTCAGTCATGCACTAGCCATGCTTTACTTCATACTCATGGACATCAATTAGGTAAATGTACAAGGTCAAGGTCAGTCATGCACTGGCCATACTTTACTTCATACTCAAGGACATCACTAAGGTAAATTTACAAGGTCAAGGTCAGTCATACCCTTCATTTACAAGGTCAAGGTTAGTCATGCACTGGCCATGCTTTACTTCATACTCATCGACACCAATAAGGTAAATGTATAAGGTCAAGGTCAGTCATACCCTTCATACCCATGGATATCAGTAAGGTACATTTACAAGGTCAAGGTCAGTCATGCACTGTCCATGCTTTACTTCATACTCATGGACACCAATAAGGTAAATGTATAAGGTCAAGGTCAGTCTTACCCTTCATACCCATGGACATCAATCAGTAAGGTACATTTACAAGGTCAAGGTCAGCCGTGTCTGTTCTTCATACTCAGACATCACTACAGCAGTAACACAACATAAACCATCTTTCAACTGCATTGATGTTTCAGAACCAATATTCCTATTTTGTCTGTAGATGTTAGTAACTGTTTCTAGGTATTTATATCAATTTCCATGTGTCATTTAATGTTTGGATGTGTTTATAACTTTCTCTAGATGTTAGCAATCATGTCCATACATACTCCTGAATAGGACCACTATGTATTTTGTGAAAAGAAAGGCATCTAAGATATTTGATTTTCTACCTTTCAGGCAAAAGAATTTGGCAGAAAAGCAGTGGTAGCTAGCGAGGGAGACTCAGACGACTGTTTGTCACGTTCTGTTGTGGAATTTATGAAAATTTTGGAAGCTGTGAAATGAATGACCAGACTGCAATGTTACTATTCTAGGCAGATGTTGAATTTATGACCATTTTGTTAATGTTGTGCTTCAGCTATGTAGATGGACTGCATTTTCTTGGAAGAGTCTAAAACTGTGATAAAAACACTTGTAAATTCATGTTTTAATTCATTGTACTGAGGCACCCATTAAATCACTTGTTATATATGTACAGAGTTTTTTGTTTCTGTTTTTATTCAGGATTGACTGGGTGTTTTTTTGGGGGGGGGCTGGGGTGATATAGCTTTCTCTTACCCTTGTGGTTCCACACTTTTCCCCGTGTGAGATTAATAGAATCCATCCCTGATGTGAGGTATGGAGAAGGTTATTCAAACCCAAGGGATACAATATTGAGTAAGAGCTCAATATTTTATCCCGAGGGTTTGAATAACCTTATCCTTACCTCATATCAGGGATGGATTCTATTTCTTACTTATTACCTAAAGCCCGTAAAACAGCTGCTCTTCTAGTAAAGTTGTAAACTGTCAGCACATTTCTCAATTGCATATGAAGCCCGGATGGCAATTGCTAGTGACGTCAATGACCCTGACTGACCCCAAAACGTCATAAAATGACGTCACGAACAATAGCGTGACCCCGAAAGGTCACTATAATTCCCCCGCCAGACTGCGGTGTAAGCGATCTGGACCCGTGCGTGGGTAGGATAGAATGGGTCTCACCCACGGAACTAACCGCCGGGGGGCGCTTGTGTACTAAAGGTGGTAGCGCGAACGTTTTAAGTCACTGCGACGCTTGTAACTATAGACAACAATGGCGAACCGCTATCTAAAATATTCGGTACCGAAATTGAAGGCTGAATTGGCTGCACGAGGTGCTGTTGTGAGTGGAAGGAAGACAGCACTGATAGAAAGGTGATAATATATTTTGCATTACAATTCATAGAAGCACAGTATTAAATACTTTCTGTTCAACATTTCTGTAAGATAACCAAGCTGTCACAATGTCAATGATAACGTTGGTTCTGCTGCTCGGTACAGATCTACATATATACTTTCCTTATAGTGTACACGAAATTCTTAAATATAAATATAAATTTCGTGAATGATGTTATACATAAATTATTTTCATTTTAAAAGATTAGAAGCATATCGACGGAACCAAGACTTCCGACAGCCTGCATTGCTTAATAGCTTACCAGAACCTTTGGCGGTCGGATGGCCTTCTGCAGGTTTTCAGCAATTGCACATCCATCACAAAATT